TCCAACTCTTGATCTTGGCTCAGATCACGATCTCATGGCTTATGAGGTTGAGCCCCACATCAGACTCTGTGCTGACAGCACGAAGCCTGCATGGGGTTCCTTCCCTCCCTCCCTTTCTTTCTCCCTCCCTCTCTCCCCTCCTTCTCTCTCTTTCTTTTTCTATGCCCTTCCTGCATGCATGTGTGTTTACTTTCTCTCAAAATAAATAAACCTGTTGCTACAACTAAGCCTTTCAGTTCTTCACCACCTCAACTCAAATGTTCTTCTCTTCTCAACTGAGGAGGTCGCACATGGGATTGCCATCACTCAAAACTGATTGGCTAAAATCCTAAACAAGATCCCCAGGTGACTGTACACTGAAGTTTGGGACACATTGTTCTAACAACAAACAAATAATCTTTTTTTTCTGAAACTGGTTTCCAAGTAATAGCTGGAATTTCATTTCTCTTCTTTTTCCTCATTCCGTCTTTTTGTCTTTAGCTGCCTACTGAGATAGTGAGGGTTCTTGTCTTGGTGTGATGGCTCAGCCCTTCACTCTGGCTTCCAAGTATTTGGTGGGCTTCTACTCCCTTGACTTCAAGGAGGTGCCCCTGTGGGTAGAGAGGAAGAAACTTGCCCAGGATCCTACAGTCAGTACATGGGGCCTAGATATTATGGTATAGTAGGGAAAGCAAAGGTTTTTACATTCTTGCTCTATTACTTACATAGATGCGAGACAATTGGAACAGTTACTTAACTCCTCTAAGCCTGAATTTGTTGTCTCTAAACTAAGAAATGAAAATATCTGCCTGAGAGGATTTTTAGGAGGGTTAAACATTCGGTGCTTAGATTATAATTCCTGGCACAGAGTAGGCATTACACTTTTCCCCTTTCACTCTCTGTCCATTTGGTGGCAGGTTCACTACTCATTTTGAGGATGGCTGGTTTTTACTCGTTAGCCTTCTCTCTGCTTCCTACAACTGGGAAAGAGGGTGAACATTTTGTTATTCTACTGCAGTTTATAAAATCCGTACCAGCTTTATAAGAATATCAGTAGCCCTTATTACCAGGATGAGACCTGGCAGCCCTATCATTTATGCAGATGAGGGAATTGCAGGCCTCAAATTCCTGGGAGGGAGCCAGTCTGTGTAGCTGATCGGAGATGGAGTTTTCCACCATGTGATCTTCGTTTTCTTACAGGTGTTACAGAATTGCTCATTGATAAGGGCTTGGGACAGTGAGAACTGAGCAAAGACTGAGTCTCTGGAGGAATGCATTAAGTGCCCTGTAATGTGGACGGTGAACATCTGTTGTCTTGTTGCCAATTCCTCAGTCACTCTAGAACAGTTTACTGTCCTGCGTTGTCTGCATTGGGCACAGCTGTTAAGGGACAGGCTTCTTATTTAATTGTGCCCTTTAGTGTTTCTCTTGGCACAAACATTGCATTTTCCTTCATCTTTAAAAAAATGCATGGGAACACTAGGTGAATGCCAGTCAGTTTGGAACTGAAGGCACCTCTGGCTTTCCTCTGGCCCTGAAGCTTCTTGACAGATCCCTCCACACAAAATCACATTTGAATAATTAATGTCTTGAAGGGTCCTGCTTTCAAGTGAGTGAATTAAAGTAGGGAATAAGGGGAGCCTGGGTGGCTCAGTTAAGCGTTCAACCCCTGATTTTGGCTCAGGTCATGAGATTGGGCTCCATGCTGGGCATGGAGCCTACTTAGGATTCTTTCTCTTCCTCTCCCTCTGTCCCTCCCCTGCTTGCTCGCTGTCATACGTTCTCTCTCTCTTTCTCTCTCTCTCTCTCTAAGTAAGTAAGTAAACAAGATAAAGTAGAGAATAAAGTGGATGGGTTGGACATTTTTCAGAAAATCACCACTTTACATGGACAAAAAGAACGAGTAGAAATAGATTAAAATGTTAACAGTGGTCGTCTTTAGATGAAAGGACTGTGAGTAAAATAACTTTTCATTATTCTGTGCTTCCACAATTTCCAGAGTGAGCAATACTGCTTTATAAAGGAAAAACTTCAAAATTGCTATTTTAAATTATTGATAAACAGTGACATCCAGAAGAAAAGTAGCCACGGTTTATATTGTGATTAATAAGCACACAAGTATAGATTCCAGTTAGGTTAACTGGGTCATAGTGGTACTGTAAAAGAGAATCGCAGATGCTAGCTGAGATTTGTGATGAAAGATTCAAACCACCTCATCCCCTTATGAAATGTACATGATATTAAAACAAAGGAAAATAAAAATTCAGCTTCTGGGCATTCAGTAGCTCAATCAAGTTTATAGGGTACCTAGGATCTGAGAAAAGAACCATTTTCTTTTGGAAGTTAAATATCAGGCTTGTGCTTTGCAGGTGGCATAGATGTTTGTGATGCTTGTGATTGGCATGTGGGGTTCATAGTTTGAGGAGTGTTCCTGAATGGCATCCTCTGGGTCCCTTAGAAGGAATGATAAAAGGGCTTTTGCTAGTCTGTCCTAATGTAGTCACGGGTAGAAGCAGGATTTATTTTGGTGTATTGGTCAGTAATAGCTAAGAGATAGCCTAGAACCCATACTTTCTCCTTAGCCAAGTAAGTCAAAGCCATGCAATCTTAATGTCTGGAGGAAAAAAACAGAAAAATGGATTAATAGACTAATACCTTGTGAAGCCTTTTTTGATTCTCACCTATCAAAAGCAGTTGTTCCTTGGCTCTTCTTTTTACTTCTTATTTTGTAGTTAGTTTTATAGATAGCTGTCATCTCTACTCTTTAGTAAGTTCCTGGAAAGTAAGGACCTTCTTTGTATCTTCCATAATGCTTTGCACAGTGGGTACTCAGTAAGTCGTTGTTGAATAACTGCATCCCCAGCTCATTGAATTAGCATTTTTCCTGACTGATGAGTTCAGAACCAAGGTAGAGATGAAGCCTGGGGCTTTAAAGTCTGGGTGGAGGGGCACCTGGGTGGCTCAGTCAGTTAAGTGTCCAGCTTCAACTCAGGTCACCATCTCGCAGTTCGTGGGTTTGAGCCCCATCTAGGGCTTTGTGCTGACAGCTCAGACAGAGCCTGGAGCCTGCTTTGGATTCTCTCTCCCTCTCTTCCTCTCCCCTGCTCACTCACTCTCTCTCTCAAAAATAAACAAACGTTAAAAAATAAAAATAAAGTCTGGGTAGAATAACTTGTCTACAACACCCAGTATTTGTAGCCTCTCCCCATGCCTTCCTATCCAGTGGGATGGAGTAAGAATCTATGACTCATTACTCTGCCTACCCCCCTCCAACTACCCTCTTCTCTTCTCCTCGCCTAGAACTCTGTTTCCCTGCCTTCTCCTTCTCTGTTGGTTATCTATTGCTGTGCAGCAAATCACTCCCAAACAGGATTATTATTGCTTATAGTTTCTGTGGGTCAGGAATGCAGGTGGCGGCTTGGTAGGATGGTCCAGGTTCAGGGTCTCCAGTGTGGTTGCAGTCAGTTATCTCTGGGGCTGTAGTCATCTGAAGTCTTGACTGGGGCTGGAAGATCCATGTGCAAAGTAGCTCATTCACAAGGCTGGCAGGTTGGTACTGGCAAGTTGATTCCTCTCCACATGGGCCTCCCGAGAGGCTGTTTGAGTGTCCTCACAATGCCATAGCTGGATTCCTCCAGAACTAATGAGTGAAGACTATAAGGTCTTGAAGCAGAAACTATGCCTTGTATGATAAAGCCTCAGATGTCATATATTGTTGCCTCTGCCATATTTTATTAGTTACACAGACCATCCCTGATTTATTTGGAGATTACATGAGTGCAGATATCAGGAGTTAAGGATTACTGAGTTGTTTAGAGGCCATCTTGGAAGCTGGCTCTCCTACTCTCCGTCCACTGCTCTGATTCCCCAAGTGAAGGCTAATGAGCTACCTTGGTTCATCTTCCCCTACATTCCCATTTCTAAGTCAAGGCCTCGTCCTAGGCTATAGCATTAACCTTCAGTTTTTGTTCCCCTCCATTTTCTTCTTAATCCATTCTCCAAACTGTTGCTTTCTGAAGCATAGCTTTGAGCTTGTTGTTCTCTTAGTTATACATCTTCAGTAACTAAACTGTACACTCTAGAAAAGCAAAGACTGTCATCTGTTGATGCAAAAAATATATACATATTACCATAGGGGCACCTAGGTGGCTTAGTTGGTTAAGCATTCAGCTTCTGCTCAGGTCATGATTTAATGGTTCATGAGTTCGAGCCCCTCATCAAAGCTGTCTGCTGTCAGCACAGAGCCTGCTTTGGATCCTCTGTCCCCCCCACCCCCTGCTCCTTCCCTGCATGCTCATTCTCACTCTCAAAAATAAACATTAAAAAAAAAACACTTTAAAAATATATATATTACCACAAACTCACTGGCTTAAAACAACACACAACACATTTATTGTCTGACAATATCTGGAGGTTAGGAATCTGGTAAGGGTTGACTGGGTCTTCTGCAAGTGTGCATTGAAGGTGTTGGTCAGGGTTCGGTTCTCATCTGAGGTTTGATTGGGGAACTGTCCACTTCCAGGCCCATGTGGTTATTGACAGCATTCAACAGTTTGTGCAGGTTGTTGGACTGAGGGTCTTAGTTTCTTGCTCTTTTGGCTGGAGGCTGTCCTCAGTTCTTTGCCATGTAGCCCTCTCACAACATGCCAGCTTGCTTCTTCAAAGCTAACCAAAATGTGTCTTTCAGCAAGAGAGATGTTAAAATATTATGTAATGTCATCATGTACAGGTACTCTTGTATATTCTATCAGTTGACACTTTGGTTAAAAGCAAGCCATGGGTCCCATCCCCACTCAGTGGTGAGGAGGGGGATTATGCAAGGGTGTGAATATCAGGAGGCAGCAATCATGGAGGCCACTTAAAAGTCTGTCTTCCATAATTGTTTAGTTGGCTATGTCTTCAGCACCCTGAGCAGTGCATGACGCTAAGCTCTAGTATTGCAATGAATCAACATAGTGTGATGTTATGTTTCCAGCTTCTAGATTAAGCCTCTTTCTTTACCTCCTTCTCTTCTCTTTCAGAGTTACTGATTTATTCTCGAGATTCCTCAACTCTCATCTGTCCTGATGGATGAGCTGCAGGATGTTCAACTCACAGAGATCAAACCACTTCTAAATGATAAGGTAAAGAACACACTATTTTCACTAAAATATATATGTCCTTTCTTCTGTAACTAGTTAATTCTCTATATTTTCTTAATAGTAACTAAATCAAAACATACTCATTTTCGCTTTTGATGGAGGAAATACTTTAAAAATAGATTTCTTTTTTTTTAAATTTTTAATGTTTTTTTAAAATTTATTTCTAAGAGAGAGACACATACACACAACATGAGCAGGGGAGGGTCAGAGAGAGAGGGAGACACAGAATCTGAAACAGGCTCTAGGTTCTGAGCTGGCTGTCAGCACGGAGCCCAATGCGGGGCTTGAACCCACAAACCGTGAGATCATGACCTGAGCTGAAATCAGATGCTTAACCGACTGAGCCACCCAGGCACCCCTAAAAAATAGATTTCTTAACCATCTTTCTGATATCTTTCCCTCTTTTTTCTTTCTCCCTACTTTTGTTTCCATGGGCCAAATTCAGTCAAGTTATCCTTGAGACTTTCCTGTTTTACTGATAGAGACATCAAGGTAAAAAATAATATGACAAAGTTAGCCAGAAGTTTTGAGAGTGAGATTTGACTTAGAATCCAAGTGTCTTTACTGTCAGTTTCTGTAAGGGAAAATGAACATCTATGGCTGGTGGTGTACACAGGCTGCAACACTTTCCCTGCAGTTTGCCAAGTCTGTGACGTAACCTTTCTGTCAACTTTGACATTTTCATCGGTGGGGATGTCGGTAATAAACCTCATTTTTCTGTTAGTTTTAGAACAGTGAGCAGCATAGTTTACAGTCACCAGGATTCAGAGAATAGTGATGTGATGGTAGGAGTTACCAAAAAGCTAAGAAAGGCTTATCCTGTCTCCTGACCCTCCCCATTTAGTAAATGTTCTTGAAATTCTCTTTTCTATCCTCTGCTTTTAATTTGTTGTCATTACCCATATTTAAATACTCTTGTAGGGGTGCCTGAGTGGCTCAGTTGGTTAAGTGTCCAACTTTGGCTCAGGTCATGATCTCACGGTTCATGAGTTCGAGCCCCACATTGGGCTCTGTGCTTACAGCTAGCTCAGAGCTTGGAGCCTGTTTCGGATTTTGTGTCTCCCTCTCTCTCTGACCCTCCACTGCTCACGCTGCCTCTCTCTATCTCTGTCTCTCTCTCTGTCAGAAATAAATAAAACATTTAAATTTTTTTTAAAAATCCTGAAACTGAGAACCATGCCCAAAGTGGTTCTGGTTAGTCATTGTTGGAAACCCATACCCTGATGATCGGTCTCAGATATTTGAGGAGTGAGGCACAGGTAGGAGGAGCATCTGTACTGGACCCTAGAAAGTCACAGGATGCCTGAGCAGGTGCCTGTGTGAAAGAGCTGCAGCTCACTGTGTATCTCATAGAAAAGACAGCCGGGAGAGGAAAGATTCAATGAATGTGGCCATGGAAAAACAGTGAATTAACACCTGGGTCCTCTCTTGAGGCTTCAGTGATGCCTTTACTGTGTCTAAAGTGTGCCCAAGTGGTATGGATGGAATTGTGCCCATCCCCTCAACCCAAACTTGCATGTGGAAGCCCTAACCTCCCATGTCACTGTATTGGGGATAGGGCCCTTAGGAGGTGATTAAGGTTAAATGAGGTCATAAAGGTGGAGCTTTAATCCTGTAAGACTGGTGGCCTTATAAGAGGAAGAGAGAGAGCTCTCTCTTACATACCGCCCCCCATGTGAGGACGTAGGGGGTGGTAGGTATCTGAAAGCCAGGAAGAGAGCTCTCACCAGAAACCAAACCCTGCTGGAATCTTGATCTTGGACTTTCAGCCTCCAGAACTGTGAAAAAAATAATTTTTGTTGTTTAAGCCCCTCAGACAGCCCAAGCAGTCCATGTCTTACTTCCTAACCTGTTAGCTCCTCTTTAATGTACCTACTTCCCACATTCCCTCTCTCCCTGAGAAGTGTTCCTGTCCCCTCACTATTCATGAGAGCTCCCCTGCTCCAGCCCAGCTTTCTAGAAGAAGATTGGCATGAGGCTCTCATTGGATGGTGGCATTCCCAAAGAGTTCCATCCTCTTAGTCCCCCTGCCCCAGGACATCAGTCCTTCTGTCTTTGCCCAGCACGTCTGTGCTTTTGCATACATTGCGAAAGGTATGATGGTAACACACTTCACAAAGGATTTCATTTGATCTCCCAGTAGCCAAGTGGTATAGGGAACACAGATCAGTTTGTGCCCATGCTGCTGATGAGAAAACTAAGGATGAGAAAGGTGAACTAGCTTACTCAGAGTGAGTGCCATAGAGCAGTGAGTGCTTGCTGTGGGGCAGGATTTCTCAGTCTTGGCACCGTTAATGTTTTGGGCTGGATAACTGTTGCGGGGGACTGTCGTGCATATTGTAGGATGTTCAGCATCATCCCTGGCCTCTATCCACTAGATGCCAACACCACTCAGTTGTGACAACCAAAATGTCTCCAGACATTGTCCAGTGTCCCCTAGGGGCACAGTCTCCCTAGATGAGAACCACTGCCATAGGGATAGGCCTCCAATAATAGGAGTATGTCTGGAAGGTTTTTTGGGGGGCGGGGGCTGGTTTTTTGGCCTATCCCTCTATTATTGATTATGCACCTCTTATGTGCCAGGTGGTTTACATACTTTCTGTCTTAATCATCAGAATATCCCTTTGAAGTAGATTGTATTTTTCCTCACTTAGAAGATGAAAAACTGGCTTGCCTGGTCAGTATGTGGCAGTCAGGACTGAAACCCAGGTCTGTCGCATTGTGAACCCTGAGTCCTTTCCACTGTGTGATCTCATCACCTCTGTGGCTTGCCATGTCTCTTTAAGGAAAAACCTAGAGATGTGTATCATTTCATCTTGTCTTTTTGCCCATTCTCATAGATAGGCTCTTAGCCAGAAAATGTCACTGTACCCTTCTAAGCTTCAGGGAGCTAGAGGAAGTCTAGTCCCAGCCTGTTAGGGAGAGATTTGTCCTGAGATGACTATCAGGAAGCATTCTCAGAATAGCTTTAAGTAAGGCTTATGTTAACTTGTCTCTTGTCATTTGTTGGTACTTTTCCCATTTAATTTTAGTATGCTTGTAATTTTGTCTATGGCTCAGAATTGTGAAGAAGTGGGCAATTTTGCCATGCTTGTTTTGGCTCCAGTGATGAAAAGAAGCAACTGCCAGTGCCTATCTTTGTTTTGGGGGGCAGACATTGTATAGAAGTGTGAACTGATTTTTTTCTTAAATAGCATTTAACTATTTTTAGTGCATTTTCACAGATACTATCTTCTTTAAATCTCCCAACCTCATATGAAATAAGTAGTTAAAGGTATTTTTAACTCTATTTTACAAATAAGGCTCAGAGAGGTTATATGATTTGTCTAAAAGGTAGTGTCTAGGAAAATGGTGAGCCCATATCTGTTGACTTCAGCTTGGATCAGGGGATCTAGGGCTCTGCCCACCACCTGCTGCTCTTGGAGCTGGTCATTCCAACCTCCTCAACCAACAGACCATGTAACAAACAGGAGAGCTGACTGAATTGTGCTTCATTTTCCCTAACCTCAACTGCATTCAAGTATGCGCCAGAAAAGACTAACAGAAAAATAACAAAACATTAATGATAGCAGCTATTTCTCAATAGAGAGATGATGAATGATTACAATTTTCTTTATAGTTCTCTACAGTGAGCGTGTACTTTCCTTTTTGTAGTTGGAACATCAGAAAAAAAGGATTTGGTATAGTACAAAAAATACTAAACCTAGTGAAACCCAAAGGGCAGTCTTGAGAAAATAAATAGAAGGCCACAACTGGCTTCTGCAGAATTGAGGAAGTATCAAGTAGGTTGAATAAGTATTTAGTGGGGAAGAATAGAAACAACTTATTTACTTCTTTTTGGTTGTTAAAATAGAAAGTGAGATATAGACCCTATTGCGGTTTAAGTTTTCCATCTCTACTTGTGACTGGAAATGTAAGCAGAGGAGAGAAAACCCGTGAATGAGCTTGTAACTTTCAAGACAGCAGAGACAGGCGAAGGGTTAGTGCCAAGGTTTCTTAAAAAAAAAAAAGTGAAAAACAGAGTTGTTGACCTTTTCATTAAAGAATATTTGTGAAGTGCTACTTTTATGCTTTGGAGGGTGGGTGTCCTTTAATGTGCTAAGAAGTGATTGTCACCCGTTGTCAGAAATGGCCTAGATGGTACTGCAGCAGGAAGTGAGTTCCCCAGCAAGTAATGGTACCACTGTGACAGTCCACTGTCAACTGGCTACAGGATCAGCAGGAGATGGTGGAAGAAGCCATAGACACAAGGTGCCTAAGGAGTTTTTAGTGCAGGAGGTCGGTGACACATGACATTAGCCTGAAAGTATATTAGGGAAGAGGTTATTTTGGACTTGAAATTGTACTTTTTCAGCAGTATGCAGATGATTATCTGATTGTAGATAGTTTTATCCAACCTCTTTATAAATTTCTTTGTGAAGTCTCAGTTTCTTAATTAGTAATTTTTGAAGTCTATCAGTGATTTAAATACATATACATGCATGCCCACAAGAAAAAACACACACGTGCATATATATATAATTTTCACTTTGGGTTTTCAGCTTGATCAGATGTCTATTTAAAAATGGTTTATTGGGGCACCTGGGTGGCTCAGTCAGTTAAGTGTCTGACTTTTGGTTTCGGCTCATGTCATGGTCTCACAGTTCGTGGGTTTGAGCCCCACATTGGATTCTGCACTGATGGTGCAGAGCCTGCTTGGGATTCTGTCTCCCTGCCCTGTCTGCCCCTACCCCACTCTCTCTCAAAATAAATAAACTTTAAAAGAATTTTAAAAATAAAGGTTTATTGATGATTGTAAAACATTGATTTATTAATCTGTGTTAGTTGAATTAATCTATTAACAAAGAAAAAGACTATTTTCTAGGCTTATCTAACCCTTCTGCTTGTACAGTTCCCCATCTTTCCACTTTCTGTTGGTAAGGATTATTGTCTTTTGTTACTAGAAATGCCATATTTTATTTAGTTTTTTTTTTTTTTTCAAATCAGCTTGTTTTTAAAACTTTTATTGTTGTAACAACTCCTTCTCCCCACTTTAGTTCCTAGAGTACATGTAACTTTGGTATTCATTTCTTACTCAAATTGAGTATCTCTAGTTTGAGATGCTTATAACCTTTAAAAATGATGTTTACTGCATTTACTGAGTACCGGGACTGGGAATAGAGTTACCCAACCCCACTTCAGGTTCACAGAACAGGTAGATTTGCCCCAGATCTCTTATGTTGGTAGTTGATGCTAAGGTCTTATGCATCTTGTCTTTATATCTGTTGTTTTCTGTCTTTTGAAACTATATGTACCTCTTGACTAGATCTCATGTTGGGAAACTACATTTCTCTTCTCCTTAGCCATGTTTTTTAAATGTTTTATTTATTTCTGAGAGAGAGACAGCATGAGCAGGGGAGGGTCAGAGAGAGAGGGAGACACAGAATCTGAAACAGGCTCCAGGCTCTGAGCTGTCAGCACAGAGCCTGATGTGGGGCTCGAACCCATGAACCGTGAGATCATGACCTGAGCCGAAGTCAGATGCCCAACTGACTGAGCCACCCAGGCGCCCCATATGTTAATTATACTGGAATTAAAGTAAACAACTGTTAGTCTTTTTCCAATTATTAGTACAGTACCTTTTCTCTGGGAGTCTAGCTGTGAACGTTGGATAAAGAACACATGGTTATTATTTGCCAGATACTTAACAAAGTGGCTTCGGTTTCTGGAGAGAATTGTCTCTTTCTGCTTTTGGTATTTCAGAGGATTTGTGCTCATCTCAGGCTTTAGGAACTTAAAAAATGCCTCATGACTGTGATCATGTGGTTGTGAGGAAGGAAAACTCATACATACAATAACAGCTGCTTCCCAAAGAGCTCATCAGAATTTGTGTCTGTGTTCTATGACCAAGAGTTGAGTTCTGTCTAGAGTAATTTTCTCTAATTTTTCTAAGTCTCTAAAGGAACCTCTGGGAACCCAAAAGATTGAAGCCCTAATATGGACTGTTTGTATATATCATTATTTCTCAAAAGATTAAATGAATCTTTAAACCTTATATTACAAAATAACAAGTTACAAACATTTTTTGTATCATACCAGATCCTTTTTTTTCTAGTGTTCTCATTACAGAAAGGGACTTACTTGCTTATTGTAGGGAAGTGTAAAGAAAATTATAATCATCCATAACCTCTCTATTGAAAAATAGCTACTATCGTTAACGTTTTGGTATTTTTCTGGTAGTCTTTTTTGGTACATATTAATGTAGTTGAAGTCAGACTGTAAAGACTATAGCCTACTTTATTTTCACTTAGTCACCATATCCTACTGAAGTCATTCTACCCTAGGGCATGAGAGGGCCTTTCCTTTTGCTTCTCACAATCTAACTAGAAATTAAATGCAATGACTTATCTGAAGGAGTTCTCAGGCATTTTGTGGGGCTAGTAGGAGTGGCAGAACACTATGATTCTTGTTGCCAGTGGCAGCATTGCTCAGAGATGTGCTACCCGGTCCCATCTGCGTGGTGTCTTAGGTGTCTTTCTGTGCTGTTACTGCATCAGACTTTATTTTGTGAATGTGATTTCATGCCAAGAACAGTATATCAGGCTAGCTGTCTCTACCACTCTTTCCTCTTCTTGGTCCCATCTCCTCTCTGCGATTGGTAATCTATTGTGACTTTACTGCCAATTTTAGAGAAACAAGGGTGTGCTCATCCATAGCCTTATTCGTTCAGAAGCTGTTTCTAGATAAGTGCTGTCCAGAAGTTCTGAATAATCGAAATGGAAAAATGGAAATTCTGCAATAATGGAAATGCTCTGTATCTGCACTGCCCAGTAATTACAGTAGCTACTAGCCACATGTGTCTTTTTTTTTTTAATATTTTTATTTTATTTCTAGGATAGAGAGAGACAGCATGAACAGGGGAGGGTCAGAGAGAGAGGGAGACACAGACTCTGAAACAGGCTCCAGGCTCTGAGCTGGCAGTCAGCACAGAGCCCGACGCAGGGCTCGAACCCACGAACCGCGAGATCATGACCTAAGCGAAAGTCGGATGCTTAACCGACTAAGCCACCCAGGCGCCCCTAGCCACATGTGCCTTTGAGCACTTGGAATCTGAGTAATGTGACTGAGAAACTGGATTTTTTAATTTTAATTAAAAAAATTTTTAATGTTTATTTATTTTTTGAGAGAGATAGAGAGAGAGCATGAGCAGGGGAGGGGGAGAGAGAGAGGGAGACACAGAATCTGAAGCAGGCTCCTGGCTCTGAGCTGTCAGCATAGAACCCGATGCCCAGCTTGAAGTCAACAAACTGTTAGATCGTGACCGGAGCCAAAGTCAGAGGCTTAACCAACTGAGCCACCCAGGCACCCCTATTTTAGTTAATTTTAATTGCCACATGTGACTAATGGCTACCCTAGTAGGTAGTGTCACTCTAGATCATCTCAGCAGGTTCTGCTAGTTAACTCTTACGGAGACGACAGTTCATATCTTAGAGGTTTTGTGTGTGTGTGTGTGGTTTGTTTTTTTTGTTTGTTTTTATGCATGGGGCTGTGTTTTTAACCTGTCTTGTTGTGCCGGCAGTGTGGGTAGTGGATATAGAACTACTTCTGAGAGGATCTTGAAAAGAGTATGGGACTACTTCATACTCCCTTGGGATCAGAAATATAGATCCTGTCTGGAGGGGCAGCTTTTGGGAAGGTGTTCAGTAGTGGCTCCACACCTCTTGGAAGCCAATTATAGACAGAACAGATATGTTATAACAGTTTCTAAAGAATGAGACTTTGTGAAAGATGAAATCAGAATGGATTTTCCCCTCTCAAATACATCACTCATTATCCTTTTTATATACCCTTAGGTCATATTTTTGGAACTCGGCATCTGAAATGCTACAAAAATGCCTCTGAGTCGTTGCCATTAATTTTTTTTTTCAATCAAACATTACTATGATATTACCTCTTTTTAGAAGCCTGGTGAATTCTCCTTGGATCTTTTGACTGTGTTCTACTTGTGAAATGGCTCAGTGACTTATCCTTTTTTCCTATGAGCAATTTTATGAGATGCAACAGATAGGCCAGTGTATTAAAAATCCTGTTTTGTCTGTCTTTCCTTCCTTCAGTGACATTGCCTTTTTCCCTTGTTAAATTACAAGTCTTCCATTTCTGATCCATCTATATCTTTGTTCTCTTCTTGATCCTTTCTTTAATTCCTGGTTCTGGGCACCCTGGCTCCTGCCTGCCTTTGTTCCTCTCAGGGTTGGCTTCCAACCGCCTTTTCCCGGGTACTTCCTGTGTGGGTTGTGAGTGTCCCCTAAGACTCTGATCCTTGTTTTACGCTCTTCCCACAAGTTCTCACTGCTCTCTTTAGGGGGGGAAGCAGGAAGTTGCAAACATTACTGGGCAGCCAGGCTTCTTTCCTTTATCTTCACAGGAAGCCTGCCAAAGTGTAATCTTTAGTCTTAACCTTTTACATGTTAGGAGCCCACTCTGCCTTTGAAGCCTTTTGATGAGAATCATTTTAGTTTTATGGCAACCAAGAGGCTGCACGTGCACTGCTTGCACTGTGAAATGAATTTGTTGCACATTTGGGGAAGCCACATGGGGAAACTGACTGTGTTTTCTGCCTTCTGTTGACAGACTGGTACACGAAACTTCCAGGACTTTGACTGTCAGGTAAGGACTGTACAAGCACCAAGGGGGCTGTGTACAGGATCTCTGCAGTGCTTCCCTCCCTGTGCCTGTGGCCTTGTAGAAGTGGATCTGTCTTCGTAGCTATTCATAACTCCTTCATGTTCTTTTGGTCATTGGATCAGGTTTATTTATTTATTTATTTTTTTAATTTTTTTTTTTAAGGTTTTTTTAATTTATTTCTAGAGAGAGAGAGAGCGTGAGCAGGGGAGGGTCAGAGAGAGAGGGAGTCACAGACTGAAACAGGCTCCAGGCTCTGAGCTGGCAGTCAGCACAGAGCCCGACGCGGGGCTCGAACCCACGAACCGTGAGATCATGACCTAAGCGAAAGTCGGACGCTTAACCGACTAAGCCACCCAGGCGCCCCAGGATCAGGTTTATTTAAAATGATTTGCTGGGTGTTCAAAAATTGCCTGCCAGGTGCCTGTGTTATGGTTGTAGGTTACTGGGTTGAGCAGTCACTTTGTGATTAAGAGCTCCTCCCCTCAGCTGATACTGGAAACCCCAGTCATAGGTGTTAAATGGAGTATTGTCATCTCACTGCAGAGAGGTGGGGGAGGGGAGTCGGGAGGGGAGATTGATCAACAAAATCTTTTTCTCAAAGAAAAAGACAAATTAACTAAATATTATTAATACAAATGCAGATTTCTTTTGACTTTATGCTTGGAGATGCAAAATTCAACTCGATTCATTAGTATTTAATTAAATAATATTGTTCTTCCTAGTTGCTTTTGCCTATAGCTCTATTGCCAATTTGCAGATCAATAAAATGAACTAGCATCTCTCCATCTATCTACTTTATCTATTGACTGGCCCTGAAAGAAATGGGAGGAAGAAGTGAGGTCATGGAAACAAGAACGCTATTTGGGGATGGATACATAGCAGTGGTTGTCTGAAGCAACATGAAGTAAACTCAGAGGATACTAGGCAGGGAAGGAAGGGGTGGAAAACCAGCTTCCTTGCTTCCAGGATTCAGCCATCCTGTACACACATAGGCAAATAGTTATTTTCAGATATGCATTTTATGTTAAGTACATTGGAGTCTGTCTATAACATGAGTATCAAAAGAAAGAACTAATACCTATCTTGCAGGCAAACCACTTATAATAATATTGGGTACCTATTGTAGATACTAAATATAAACATCTCCAGTTCTTGGAGCACTATCACAAGGTGGTTCTTTTGATCCTTGTTTTACAGACCAGGAAATTGAGAATCAGTTTTCATAACTTGCCATTGGGTAGAATTGGGGTTGCAAAACCCCACTCTTCCTGGATCTGTTCTTCCTGGTGCTTGTTCTTTCCCACCTGGAAATGTCCACACAGCTGAGAAGTTGTAAGGAGTTGAGTCGTTCTGAAAGCTGAAATTCTTTAACAGAACAGCTGAAACTGATGTCGTTAGGGAGCAGGCTCATAGCATTGCTACAGATTTCTGAATCCCAGTACCAAACACCTCTTGGTATGACTATTTGGTATTTTATGTATATACAAGAGAATCAACCGAGTGCTGTTAAGGTCAGGTTTGGGTTTACTTGTTTTTAATTTGACCAAACTTCAGTTATAGTTTGGATCTAGGTTGAACCAGTTGAATTTGACTGTTGTTAATATATGATATAATTTACCTAGGAGGAGATCATTTGAGTAAGGGTGACAGTAAAATTCAAAATGAAAACTTCCACAAGTTATATGTATGTATGTATATACATGTGAATATATATATATTTCAACATAGAAGTGTAGAAGCAGGGGGACCTGGGTGGCTCAGTCATTTAAGCATCTAACTCTTGATCTCAGCTCAAGTCTTGATCTCAGAGTTGTGAGTTCAAATTCTGTGTTGGGCTCTACACTGGGCATGGAGCCTACTTAAAAAAAAAAGTGAAGAAGCATTGGTTTTCACCAAATTGAGTACCACCTGCCTGAAAGAGAAAAATGAAATTTAAAAAAACTACATGCTCACTACAAGATAGTTAAGAAAATAAAAAGTAAATAAATAAAAATTACTTGTTATTTCACTAGTGTATGATATTTGGTATATATCCTTTATGATTTTTCCACACATAAGTGTACTTAGATATAAATGAAATTGAGTTTTAGAAATATAATTATGAATCATTTTTTTAAAATTAAGGCTTAAAAATAGTCTGGCAAAAACTCTTGATATTTTTGGTGAAGCTTTAATATAGTAACATGTTCTGGCCTTGTGAAATAAAACTTTTAGTTCAGTCCCAATACAAATAGATGGTGGCAGGTGTTGTCACTGTCACTTGTCTGTCACTGTTATGAACGTACAGGTTTTTTGTGTTCCAAAGAAGAAAAAAACATAGACTCTTCTTTTTTCCTCCTAGCTCTCAAAAATCTTCTACCACCATTCTTGTTTGTCTCTTTGTTAAAGGCTTATGTGATGCTTTGCAAACTGGAGACAATTGGATCAAGAGTCTAGTGACAGTTTGATAGAAGGCCCAAGAGCTAGGAACTGTGATGTGAGAAGTCTAGAATGGCCTGGTTTGCATGAAGTCTTCCCGGAAACCATTGGGCATTCTTAGGAGACAAAACAGATCTACAGCCAGCATTGTCACTAAATGTTAAAGCATTCAGCAATGGCTTTGGTGTTGACCATTAGCATTACTGTAGCACTAGGTTATCTGAAGCCATTTAATCAGGGCTTCCTTCTGATCTCTGTCTTGCCTCAGAAAAATCAAGGAATACGTGATGACTTCCCAGGAAGTTACCTTAGCGGCATCAACCAAGCTCACAACTTCACTCTGAACCATGTTTTCCCTCTGTTTTCTTTACCAATCAACTACATGCTTTTTTTTTTTTCTCTCCAGTAATTGAAATTATAATTAGAAGTTTACCATTTCTCAGGTATTGGCTGCTGTCTCACAGAACATGTTACTCTTGATCTCTGGGTTGTGAATTCAGGTCCCACATTGGGCCTAGATCTTACTTTAAAAAAAAAAAAAAAGTTTACCATTTTTCTTGGTTCTTTGTTTGTCCTAAGTCACTTTATTGATATTTAACTCCACTGAGACAAACAGCAGTTATATGTGACTATAAGGTAATGTGGGAAGAGGTGGTGAGAGGTGACATGCTTAGGGTTGATGAGAAAGGAGAAAAGCGCCTACTGCCATTTGAAACAATGTATCAGCAGACTTAGTGTCCATTTGTCTGTGTAGGTGCTGCTTAATTTTCCTTTCCTCGTGAGACAGTTTAAAGGTTTAGAAATAAGGGGGCGCATAGGTGGCTCAGTCCATTAAGCGTCAGACTTTGGCTCAGGTCAGGATCTCACAGTTCATGAGTTCGAGCCCTGCGTCGGGCTGTATGCTGACAGCTCAGAGCCTGGAGCCTGTTTTGGATTCTGTGTGTGTGCCTCTCCCTCTCTCTCTCTCTGCCCCTCCCTGGCTGTCACTGTCTCTCTCTCAAAAATAAATATTAAAAAAACTTTTTAAAAAAAGTTTTAGAATTAGAGCTGAGACATATGCTATAGAAACTGTATTTGATATATTGCTGTAAAAAATAACACTTATCTTGGGGTGCCTGGCTGGCTCAGTCAGGAAAGCATGCAACTCCTGATCTCTGGGTTGTGAGTTCGAGCCCCACATTGGGTGTAAAGATTACTTAAAAATAAAATGTTAAATAAATAATAACACTTACTTTATGTAACATCAGAAACAAATTTAGAAAAGTATAAAAATAAAGGTTGCCTATGATCCTGCTACCTAGAGCTAACCATATTTTATTTTATTTCTTTTTAGTTTTTACTTTTATGTTCAGGTTATTGAAAGAGTACATGCTCATAGTTGAGTATATGGAAAGCACAGAGAATTATGCAGAACAAAAAAATTCATATAATCTGGGGACAACTATATTATTATGTTTGGTATTGAAATAGATATGTGTGTGTATATAATTTTTATAAAAGTAACCTTTTATTAAAAAAAATTTTTTTTAAGTTTTTTAATTTATTTTGAGGGGGGTAGAGAGAGAATCCCAAGCAGGCTCCACACTGTCAGCACAGAACCCAGCGCAGGACTGTATCCCACAAACTGCCGAACTGTGATAATGACCTGAGCTGAAGTTAAGAGTTGCTTCTTAACCAACCAAGCCACCCAGGCACCCCTACAAAGTAACTTTTAAATTTATATAGTTGCCAAATTGAATATACAATTTTGTGTCCCCTTTCCTGACTTAATTAGAACACAGTTTCATTTCTATATCATTTTTATTTTAAACACTCATAAAAATAATTTCTGAGAGGTGATTATTATTTCCTCATCTGGCTATACCATGACTTAACTATTCCATTATTTTTGGAAATTAGATCACTTATAATATGTTCAGTTTACTCAATGTTGGGTTTTTTAAAAATTTTTTTAATGTTTTATTTATTTTTGAGAAACAGAGGCAGCGTGAGCAGGGGAGGGTCAGAGAGAGGGAGACAAAGAATCCGAAGTAGGTTCCAGGCCCTGAGCTAGCTGTCAGCACAGAGCCCGGCGCAGGGCTTGAACCCACGAACTGTGAGATTATGACCTGAGCCAAAGTTGGATGCTTAACCCACTGAGCCACCCAGGCGCTCTTCACTGAACGTTTTGTACATAAATTTTATCTACACTATAGAATGCTTCCTTAGATGGACTCTTGGAATGAGCATATTTAGAGCTCTTGGCATATTTTATCAAATTATCTTCCACTTCTACCAGAGGGGTACTCCATAAATATTAATGGAGAGTGAAAAGCTGCTGTCTGCCAGGATATATCATTCCTATAGAAGTGACTAATAATGGAGTGCACTCATAAGAATGGAGTTCTTGCTCCTGGAATAATCCAGGCATGGCCAAGGGCTGAGTAATTTCATGCTAGCTGCTTAATTGCAGTAGCTCTTTGGGGAACTGATTTATAGAACCCAACAGTGAGGGTTGGTTTTTAGTACTGCAGTTCAAATGTGTATGTGACTGCCTCTTCTAAAGGGGCTTAAACAACTTTAAACTCTTTTTTTGAGAAGTTAAAAATTCCTTGATTTTTTATTCCAGTACTACTACTACAATTCACTGGGTGATCTACCTGATGCCATGAAAAGGAAAAAAGAAAAACCTACAATAGATATAAAGGCCTCAGGAATGTACGTCTAGTTGTATTATTATTAAACAGCTTTAAATTCTTGAAGATCATTCGATGAATGGGCACTTTTACAAAATAAGAATTAAGTGAAATAAATATCCTAAAAGTTCTTTCCCCAGGAAAGAGGTGTTTGGAGAGAGCTGGAATTCAGGTATCTGCTATAATCTGTTAGAAAGTTTGACCAGCTCCATGCTCCTCTTTGGCCTGGAAGGATGTGAATGCAGCTCCAATCCACCTTTCAGCCTCTTGTCCCACTGCTTCTTTATATATACTCCCCACTCTCAAGAGAGCTGGAATTATTACTGGCCTTCCTCACTTCTATACCACATGCTTTTCCTTTCTGGTGGCCTTTGTTCACAGTTCTCCCTTTAAGATGCCCCATCTTTTTGAGTTTGATTGTGTCATAGTTGTTTGGGGGAGTGGGCCAGGCAGAGGTTGATTTTAGTATGTTCTAAGGATATAAGTGACTTTTTTCCTCATGGGGGGATAAAAAAGAATCTTCTGGGAAAAGCAGAAGTCCTTTTTGTCAGCACCCCATTCTCATTTCCCTTTTCCCCTGACACTAGAAGGTTTTATTTCTCTGATGAGCTCATGGGCAAAATGGCTGCCAACTTCCCCAAACCCACATCCTTCAGCTTACTAGCCTCACTGCTTAAAAGAAGATCTTTACCTATATCTCTAGGGAAAAGTCCAGGGGCAGATTCTTGTTGGCTTAGCATGGGTCACGTGTACATTCACTCATTGTGGCCAGAGAGTAGGGTGTTTGAATTGGCCAGACCTGGAACCCCTCCTGTCTGGGCTTTTCTACCTAGAAAGTTAGTGTTCTGGGCCATTGCATGTGGGTTAAGTAACCCTGCACTCTTTTTCTCCTCATAGAAGAGGAGACTAACTATAGCTATGTGAAGATGATACTAGAGTTGGCTTTGAAGGAAGAAAAGATAGATTTTATGTGTGGACATATTATAAAAGAGGCTTCTATGAAGACCATGAATTGTGAGAAGGCCCAGAGATGTGGGTGGTTGAGATGTAACAGTAGAAACAGTCTGCAAGTGTGTTGACTGAACTAGGCTGAAAGAGTTAGGAGGAGGAGGGAGAGTGTTGAGACCAGAGTCAGGGAAAAGTGTCCTGGAACTTCAGAAAAGGAAAAGCGATCTGTTGATAGGCAGAAGGCTGACAAATCTCAGAGGCAAATTCTTCTCCTATGGGAGTAAATAAGGTTATGCAAAGAATCTTTTACCCCTACACAGAGGTAAGATAGTAGAGATATTATATCAAAAATTCCTAGGGCGCCCGGGTGGCTCAGTCTGTTAAGTATCCAGCTCTTGGTTTCAGCTCCGGTCATGATCTCAGGGTTTGTGAGATTGAGCCCCATGGCAGGGTTCCCTGCTTGGGATATTTTTCTCTCCCTCTCTCTCTTGCCTTCCTTCTCGTGCACGTGTATGCACATGCGCTCTCTCGCTTTCAAAATAAACAAACTTAAAAAAATTTCTGTATAATAACAAAAACTGTACCCAAGGCTCATAAGTAGCCTGCTTACTAGAAACAATAAAATTTCATGCTAATAATATCATGTTGATATTTCCAAGAGTATGTTGTCATTCAAGTTTTCCTAAACTATTTCAGATTGGCCAGGGAGAAGAAGTATTATCAGGTGTGAAGTGATCAAAAATTAACTGAGTTCAGAGAGAGAAGGCAAGTCAGATTGTGTAATTCTGGTAACAGTACATTTAGCTGAGGTAAGAGGACTCATGAAAAAAAAGGTGAAAATTGATTATTATAAAATGATGGTAATATCCTAAACTCTTAAATTCTTTTTTGAAATGGTTTTTATTTCAACTTCAGTTAACACAGTGTTATATTAGTTTCAAGTATACAATATAGTGACTCAACAATTCCATACCTCACTCAGTGCTCATTACAAGTGCACTCCTTAATTCCCATCACCTGTTTAACCTTCCCCCCTACCCCAACTCCTCCTTATAAACTCGTAAATTCTTTTTTTTTAATTTTTTAAAAATTTGTTAATGTTTTATTTATTTTTGAGAGAGAGAGAGAGAGACAGTGTGAGTAGGGGAGGGTCAGAGAAAGAGGGAGACACAGAATCTGAAGCAGGCTCCAGGCTCTGAGCTAGCTGTCAACACAGAGCCCAACGCAGGGCTCGAACCCACGAACCACGAGATCATGACCTGAGCTGAAGTTGGATGCTCAACCAACTGAGCCACCCGTGCGCTCCATAAACTCGTAAAGTCTTTTTAGACTCTTCGATTATAAGTTACATCTTTGAGGGATCCCTGGGTGCCTCAGTTGGTTAAGTGTCCAGGACTTGATTTTTGGCTCGGGTGATGATCTCACATTTCCTGAGATCAAGCCTTGCGTTGGGTTTTGCACTGACAGCATGGAGCCTGCTTAGAATTCTCTTTCCCTTTCTCTTTCCGCCCCTTCCGACTCATGTATGTGCTCTCTCGCAAAATAAATAATAAAAACATATTTAAAAAAGAAAGTTGCCTCTTTTTAAAATGATTTATTACTTATTTTTGAGAGCGTGAGAGAGAGAGAGAGAGAGCGCATGAGTTAGGGAAGGTAAGGAAGAGGAGACACAGAAGCTGAAGCAGGCTCTAGGCTCTGAGGTATCAGCACAATCTGATGCAGGGCTCGAACTCAAACCGTTGAGATCATGATCTGAGCTGAAGTTGGACACTTAACTGACTGAGCCATCCAGGTGCCCCAAAATTTATGTCTTTGATTAAGAGGGAGATGCAGTCCAGGATGGAGACAGGACCAATATGATTTCAGGTCATTTTATAGCCTGGAGAATAAAGGGGTTGTGTTTAAGAAGTTCGTATCCTTGGAGGTGATAAATAATCAGAGTGCTGGGAAAGTTCTATGACCAGAGCCTGTTAGACACTACTTGGGCTGTGCCCTTTGAGCGCAGGCTCTCATTGTGTAGTCACACTGTCTGGAATGCTGGAGCGAAGGGTGAGGTAATTGGAAAAAGAGCCTGTGAAACAGATGATCATTGACTAAAGTAGAAAGGTGGCAGCAGCAGCAGCCCTGCAATTGCCTGACCATAGCCAGGGTCTCTGCACACTCCTCTCCAGATGGAGACTTGTTCCAGCTATTCACACACAGACTCACAAAGGATATATTTACGAGTCCACTTGGAGGTGAGTGTCTCCTTTCTTTTCATATTTTTTATTCTACTAAGAACATTTACATTCACGTACTTTAAAAATGAGGACTGATGGATGTGGGGGGGAGGAGGGGATGGGCATAGAGGAGGACACTTATGGGGATGAGCACTGAGTGTTATGTGGAAACTAATTTGACAATAAACTTATTTGTAAAAAAAAAAAATATTTTTTCAATGGGATCAAATGTGGTAATCTTGGCAAATTTACAGACTTAGAGAAGTCTAATTCTTAATGATTTCTTGCAATAAATAGACTAAATGATTTTATGACCAGGCATTGTGACTGATGAGCAACAGTTACATATCGACAGATATTAAAAATGTATTTATGGTAACTAGATTGTGTGAACGGTAGCATTTTCAGAAGATGGTTTCTCTGTACATCAAATTAATGGTTTTCCTTCAGACTAAGAGACATAAAGTACTTGGAAAAAGGTTAGGTTAAGTCCTCATGTGGTGACCAGACCCCACTGAAAACTACACGATTTAATCATTTCCTTTCTAAGAAAAATCAGCCGTAGTTACTATATAATTAATCCATCNTGATGGATGTGGGGGGGAGGAGGGGATGGGCATAGAGGAGGACACTTATGGGGATGAGCACTGAGTGTTATGTGGAAACTAATTTGACAATAAACTATTTGTAAAAAATAAATTAATTAATTAATTAATTAAAAGACATTAAAAAAAAGAAAAAAAAATGAGGAGAAACGGTACAAGACACTGACAACCAAGTGTTGCTCCAAATAGGGGGCAGGACTCTTGGCCCGTGAATACTCCAGTCGTTACGTAATACGAGGGCTTATAACGGGGAGGTAGGGACCGAGATCTCCCTAAAAAGTCGAAGTCCTGTAGGGATCCAGTTTTAACTCTGAATTTCTCCAGATTAAGAAATGATGACATTAGTTACTTTGCCTTATTCCCTCATCTTCTTATGGAGTGTTCTTTTTTACCCCATCTGTTATGTCTCCCTTTTTATCATCCTTCTCCTGAACTTTCCTGACAGCTCACAATTCACCCCACACACAGAACACATGCTCTCACCATCAGCTACCTAGCTTTGGGAGGTCCTGCTAGCATTAGGGCCACAGGGTTAACTGGTTTTTCCCTCCATCCTCAGTAGCACAGCTGAAGCCAAGCAGGAGTATTTTAGCAAAACTTTACTGAAGGTTCTGGCAACCTGATTGTGAAGCTGACAGATTGTTGCAATCTCTTCAGCTTGGCTTTTCCTGTAGTGTTGCCCTTTGGGCAGGAGGAGCCAGCTTCCTTTATTCCTTAGCCAGTGTTCCTTTATTCCTTCTCTCTCTCATGAAGTAAAACATGGGGCAAGGGGAAGGTAATGAAACATGAGAGAGATAAAAGCCTTCTTGAGTTCCCTTTCTGAATGTGTCAGGTCCCAGAAGGAAACAAAATCTTAAAGTTAGTGTACATTCCTTCTCTAAATATTATGCTTTAAATATATGTATGTAAACATGCAATGTATATAGTGTTGCTTTTTAAAAAATATAAGTGTTATGTACATACCCTTCTGTATTTCTACTCAGCATTATATTTTCAACATTTTGTCTGTGTATTAATACATCTAGTTCTAGTTCATTTTAATCTGTATTTCATTATGAATAGATCATTATCAGTTTTCCTATTGATATTTAGGCTATTTCCAGATTTTTTGATATGATAAATAAGGCTGTAGTATACCTCTCTGTATATATCTTTTTGTGTGTGTGACCATGTTTGAGAATTTCTTTAATTATATCTAAAAGTAAAAGTTCTGTAGGGTAGACACCCCTTAGCTTTACTAGAGACTACTGGATTGTTCTCCAGAGTAGTTGCTCTAGTTTGCATGCCTACCAACAGTGTATGAGAGTTCTTTCTTCTCTGTATCTTGGTCAACACTTGGTGTTATCTAACTTTAAAATTTTTGCCATTCTGGTATATGTGAACTGGCATCTCATTGAATTTAATTTGCACTTTCCTGGCTGCTAATAGAGTTAATGCTTTCTCCTCAGTTTTCTATCATGGTTTCCTGTTTATTTCTTTCATAGCACTCATTACATGCTATTATTATGGGTTGGTTAATTTGTGTGTTCATTGCCTGCCTTCCTGTCTAGAATATCATCTCTGTGAGAACAGAGATCACATCTCTCTCGTTTACTCTTTTATCTCCAGATCTTAATCTGGGGTCTGGTAGTAGGAATTCAATAAATAGTTGTTTAATGAAGGAACCTGAATAGTGGTGGGGGTGAGCAGTTCCTCAGTATGTCTGACATTGCTACAAGAGAAATGCTTATATTGTAACAGGAATTTATTTCTTTATATTCATCCCTTTTAAACCCTATACTTCATAGCCAGTTTGAAGTATCTGATTCTTTCCTTCATTTCTTACCTCCCCTTTCCAAGTCTTTTGAATAGGCTTGAATAGGAGGTAGCAGAAATAGAGAAATGCAGAAATAGTCACTCATGATTTGATAGAGATTATCTGCTCCAGCCTGGGGCCTATGACTTCAGATATACTGATATTGAATTAGCCTATGATTATTTTGTGCCCCACATCAGAGAAGAAACCAGAGTTCTGATGATGTTCATTATTTGATAGGAAATTAAGTTGGAAGCTCTCTGCCTTTGCTGGGATTCTTATTGACAGAGTTAATCTTATCCTGTCTACATCTTATCCTATCTACTATAAGACTATCTGAGATAGGGAGGACTCCATCCGCAAGAATTCACTAGGCTAGACATGGTGATTTTTTATTTTTGAGAAATAGAGACATTGAAGAGGACTAGAATAAATCTCAGTGACTTTTCTACAGTTCCTGTCTTTTCTACCCAGTCACTCTTAGTGCTGGTCCCAGCAGCTCCAACTGCATCTTGTTCCAGCTTTTTTCTTTCTTTCTTTTTTAAAATTTTTTATAGTTTATTTATTTTTGAGACAGAGAGAGACAGAGCATGAGTGGGGGAGGGGCAGAGAGAGAGGGAGACATAGAATCCAAAACAGGCTCCAGGCTCTGAGCTGTCAGCACAGAGCCCGATGCGGGGCTCGAACCCACGAACCATGAGATCTGACCTGAGCTGAAGTTGGACACCCAACCGACTGAGCCACCAGGCGCTCCTTGTTCCAGCTTTATTTAGTTCCTGGGCTCTGCTCTGACTACATCTTAACCTCTTAACCTCTCCTCGTTGCCTTGGTTAGGGGTGCAGGAAACAAACCCTCCCAAGCTGGCTTAAACCAAAGGCAATCCAGGAATGTCTCAGAAATTAAGAACATACATAGCTAGAACCAAAAATTAGAGCAGGGGAAATGTCTACTCCCAGGCTTGCTTCTCTTTTTAAGAAAAGAACCAAATTGAGGATAAAATCTCTTACTCCCAGTTACAAATTCTCAGGGAAGGATACATACCCACCATGGACCAGATGCTCACCTGCCTTCAGTAAACCATAACCATAAGGTTACAGTCTACAGACATAGCAGTCAAGAGCCTCCTGTAATGTATGGATGACACAGAAGGGCAGCTGCCGGGAAAGGAAAGAGATTTTAGGCATACACCCCCATAGGTATCTACTGAACTTATTGGTTGCTGAACATGAGTTTAGAGGCTCTGAAACCTCTGGCTTTTTACCCAGCAGTTCCATCATATCTTCTGCTTCCTTAACTTTTCTTCCTCTAAGTCTTACCTGGCTCCTTACCCACCTTGCTGATCTTTTAATAGCTATTTGCAAGTGTATTCTCAATAGATCCCTGACTTACCTCACTTAAGATAATGAGCTTTAGGGGCACATGGGTGGCTCATTCGGTTAAGTGACCAGCTCTTGGTTTTGACTCAGGTCACGATCTCACAACTCATGGGTTTGAGCCCTGCATGGGGCTCTTTGCTGACAGCACTGAGCCTGCTGAGGACTCCCTCCCTCCCTCCCAAGGTAGTGAACTTTGTGGATGAGAAGCTATAGTTTCCCCCTCATTTGTTAGTTTATCTGGAAGGAATTAGAAAATGGGAATATCCTGTATACTATAACATCTCTCTGGTGTGCTTATAGTCTGGTGATGTATCCCACCCCAGCTAGTGAGAAATAGCAATAAATAGGTATTGTGGAACTTCAGCCATCTGGGAAGTCCATTCTGCTTTTGCTGAGACCGTACATTGTCTTGTTACAGGAACATGACATAGAAACTACTCATGGTGTGGTCCACGTCACCATCAGAGGCCTACCAAAGGGAAACAGACCAGTTATTTTGACATATCATGACATTGGCCTCAATCGTATGTATTTGATTTTATACCTTCCTTTTTTATTATAATTAATCTTTGGATATTTATTTTTAAAAGCAAGAAACCCCAGTATTCTAACAGAGCACAGGTTTTCTCCTTTCTGGCTTAACCTTCCCTCCTCATTGTTACACATTAATGGCAGGATTAAAGTGTCTGGGAAGTGTGCAGGAAAATGCGTTTGGGGGATACTGGAATTCTGTCTCACCTTTGTGTCTTAACTGGTAAAGGATGAACTGTTTAAGGGCAGATCTGAGGGGTTCCTGGCTGGCTCAGTCAATAGAGCATGCAGCTCTTGATCTCAGGGTCATGAATTCAAGCCCTCAGCGTTGAGCATAGAGCTTACTTAAAAAATACAAAAATAGAGTGTGTCTCAAGATAAAAAAAGAGTAGACTGGAAATCACTTGTTTGATTTGTTTAAGTCTATACTTCTTTGGTTGTTTCATATTTCATGTTAGAAAATCCAAAGTTTGAACTTTGTTGTGAGCTCTTCAGTAAATTAGTCAAAGTATTCTTCCTATAGCCTGTCATCAGTGATTTTAAGTGGACTTTTCTAGATGGTAGTATAAGATTCTGGCCCTAGCCACAGGCTCAGAGCCTGTATATGTGTATGTTTTCTCCGATGCTTCTCTGGCTTTCAGAGGTGGTTGCATGTATTTGAGGCTTCAGTCTAGTGTTGGAGCCTTTGTAGCCTCTTCAGCATGAGAAGCGATTTAAGCAGTTACACTAACGAGTAGAAATTAAGGCAGCAGCCCCAATTTTGCCAAGGGACAGTCTTCCAAATGGTGAATGTGAGCAGCCAGGATATTTACTCTAGCCAGGTTCTTGGAATGTAGTCAATGGCTCTGTGTCAGATGGGGAAATAAGATACATGAGAAATGACAGCACGATGGGTACAAGATTATTTTGTGCAATACCAGAATTGGTTTCCATTTTGTAGACATTGTGTAGAATTGAGAATTCATTGTCGTTTTCAGGTCATTAAGATGTCTGGTATTCAGCCTTTAGGGCAGCTTGAATCACATTGTTCAGACACCTCATTTTGGTGGAACAGTGACTAAAAGGGAGTGAAAGAGGATGATGATATGGAATTAACTGAGTCGAAGAAAACTGGAGAGAAATGAAGAGGACTGTATGTACAGTCTGTTGAAAATTGGGGAAAAAAGAGAGAGAGAACTTGTGACTTATGAGTATTTTTATTCTTGCAGATAAATCCTGTTTCAATGCATTTTTTAACTTTGAGGATATGCAGGAGATCACCCAGCACTTTGCTGTCTGTCATGTGGATGCCCCAGGCCAACAGGAAGGTGCACCCTCTTTCCCAACAGGGTAAGGCCACAAGCAAGACCTTCTGGAAGGCATGCATTCAGGAGAGCAAATGATTGAGCTCCTGTGGGAGAAGTAGCATTGATTTCCCCTGTTGATTTTAGCATGGCCTACGGTTATACTTCTCCACCAACTATCCTCCTGTTTCTCTTCTTGCTCTGAGAGGACTGTTACGTACAGTCTCTCAAGGAAAACCGCATATTTTCCTATATCCAAGAATGGTTCTCTATCGATGGGAATCTGTCTCCCTGTAATTGCAAGGCTTAAGTATCTGAAACACCCACATCTCACGCTCTTTTATCTGTTCCCTTCCTTGTCTTTTTAAAATCTGCCATTTCTGTGTCCCTCCCTAAAACTTCCAACTACCAAGCCCAAATTCCAATCTATCTGTGCTTCCTGGGAGCACCTCCCCAACCTTACCTCCCAATCTAGTCATGGGAATTTGAATATTTTTGTAAGTATTTATTTCTGAGAAGCTGCCCTATCAAGTAGAGATGCATTTTGACTGGACTTGGAGCTCCTGACCTCTTCCTAAACCTGCTTTGCATGATGGAGCCACAGTTCCCTCACTCTTCCCTGGACGTTGTAATTACTGAGAAGACCTTGGGAGGGGAATGAAGGTACAAGCTGTGGAGTGCAGATTCTTCCCCCTTTCCCTTGGCTCCTCTCCAGAGCTACCTCTGCCAGGGACTGTTGTGAAATAGACCATTGCAGGTAAACAATAACCAACACTTACATGGGACTTAAACAGCATTCCTGACACTGCTTTAAATGCTCCATATCTGTTAAGTCATTTAACCCTCACAGAACTATGGGGTAGATTTACTGTTATTCCTGCTTTACAGGTGAGGAAACTGAGGCCCAGGGATATTAAGTAACTTGTCCAAGATTACATAACAAATAAGTAGCAGAGCTGGAATGTTAACAATGGCAGTCTGGCTCCAGAATCCATGTTATTGACATGGTCAGGCTGTTCTGTCTCACAGATGCAAGTTGACCAATGACCAGTTTATATCCAACAAGATTTAGATCCAGTTCCTTTCTTCTGTTTTGTGTACAAATGGCTCAACAGCCCTCCATCACTTAAAAAGTGTTTCAAGCAGAGGCAGGCTGACTCCCCTGTCACATATAGAGTAAATCCTGCCTCATACATAGGAGATTGTCTTAGGATCTCTTTCCGTCTTTGATTCTGTAATTTCTGTGGGTGCTCCCTTCTTTTCTTGGGTTCCTAGACTAAATTGGCTCCTGGGCTTCCTTGATTATCTTAGGATCGTGTAGTTTATATCATACACCAAATTCAAAAGCAAAAAGTAACCATGTTATGCCTAAGTAAAACAAATCAGCATTCATGATGAGGAGTCTAAGATTTGTGACTATGTGCGTAGGCCCAGTAAGGCTTTGTTTATTTTTGCCTGTAACTACCTGATGATAAGCCACAGATGAAGAGCCACCTCCTCAGTTAACTGTTCTTGCTGGACGTTTGCTAACCCTCAATCTCAACTGAAGTGATTGTTAGGGATTTGGAAATGCCTTGAGAGAGAGCCATGTTAATTACCTGTTCTATTCAGATGGCTTCCTATGGTCCCAGAGACTGCCCTTTAGAATATAGAAACACGTAGATTCTTCTCCTTTCTTCTCAGCATGGAAGTCATAGAGAGATAGACGGCATGTCACGATCATTTCCGTACATCATCTCCTTTCAGCCTTTGGTAAAGGAAATGCTTTTGTCTAAGAACCCCATACTCTTCCGGCTGTTTTATGATTGGGAAATGTGGGTGCATTCTAATTCCAGAGATATCCTGTATTTCAGGTACCAGTACCCCACAATGGATGAGTTGGCTGAAATGCTGCCTCCTGTTCTTACCCACTTAAGGTAGGTTCGTTCTGCAGTTCCTTAACACAGTTTTTATTGACTTTCTACCATGTATCCGATCTAGGGACTATGATGGTGAGCAAATGGAATAGTCACTGTCCTCCCAGAGCTTACATTTTAGCGGGAAGACTAATTAACAACAGATAAGCAAATAATCACAACTAAAGTGCTGCAAGAGAAGTTTGTGAGGATGATGCATTAGAGAAGGGCCAGGCTTACAGAAATAAGTCTACTTGGGCAATGTCTCTTTAAGAACGTGCCTAGTCTGAGACCTAGACAGAGATCCAGGGCAAGAGGATTCCAGACAGAAGGAATGATATTCCCAGAAGTCCTGGACCAAATGAGCAAGTAGGAGAAAGGCAAGAAGTGAAATTTGAGAAATAGACAAGGACCCAATTACATAGTCTCATAGATCAGATAAGAATGGGGATTTTATTCAAAAGACAAAAAAAAATATTGAAAAGTTTTAAGTAGGAGAGTGATATCCAATTTAGTCTTTTTTTTTTCTTTCAAGTATAGAATTTAACAATGGGTTAGATAAGAATGTGCATTAATTTTGGGTTTTTTTATTTTTAGTTTAGTCTTTTAAATGGTTACTCTAGGTATATAAGTTGCATTTCAGTACAGCTGTTTACATTTAAAAAATTTTTTTATGTTTTTATTTATTTCTGAGAGAAAGAGAGAGAGAGAGCAGGGGAGGGTCAGAGAGAGAGGGAGATACAGAATCTGAAACAGACTCCAGGCTCTGAGCTAGCTGTCAGCACAAAGCCCGACGCGGGGGGAGAGAGAGAGAGAGAGAGAGCGAGCGAGCGAGCAGGGGAGGATCAGAGAGAGAGGGAGATACAGAATCTGAAAGAGGCTCCAGGCTCTGAGCTAGCTGTCAACACAAAGCCCGACGCAGGGCTCGAACCCACGAACCGTGAGATCATGACCTAAGCCGAAGTCGGACACTTAACCAACTGAGCCACCCAGGCACCCCTGTTTACATTTTTTAAAAAGATTACTCTAGGGGTACCTGGGTGGTTCAGTCAGTTAAGTGTCCGACTTCGGCTCAGATCAAGGTCTTACTGTTCATTGGTTTGAGCCCCGCATCAGACTCTGTGCTGACAGCTCAGAGTCTGGAGCCTCCTTCAGATTCTATGTCTCCCTCTCCCTCTCTACGCTTCCCCTGCTCCTTCTCTGTCTCTCAAAAATAAATAAAGTTTAAAAAAATTTTTTTAATTAAAAAAAAAAAGATTGCTCTAGCTGTGGAGAGAATGAGTTGGAGAGGAGTAAAAAAGAAAAAGCATGAGACCATTAAACTATTACAGAAGTCAGGCATGAGAGTACTGGATACTGGATGCCTGCGGGGGGCTGGAGTGAAGTAGATGGAGATAGATGGAAATATGTTGGAGGTAGACTCTTTGGACTTGCTGTTAGGTTGGACATAGAGATGATAGGAGAGGGAGCTGTTAGAATGACTCCCAGGTTTTAGTCATATTTCACTTAACCCTTAAAATCAACTTAGAAATAGGTGGTTATATCCTTTGATAGATGGGGAACTGAGACTCAGAAAGAAAGAAAAAAAAAAAAACTTGGCCAAATTCTAGAATCCAGTGAGCATCAGACCCAGATTTGAACCTAGTTGTATCTTTTCCATTATGCCATATCCCCTCCAAGTGAGTTAACCTTATCAGTGTTGGTCTGTCCTCTTTCACAGTCTGAAAAGCATCATTGGGATTGGAGTTGGAGCTGGAGCTTACATCCTCAGCAGATTTGCAGTAAGTACTTAGAGGATTAGTCTTGCTACCCTTGAGGCACGGCCTAGGTCACAGCTCTACTGCTGGGTTCGTGACCAGGTACTGTTGTGGGTCTTATATCAGTTTCTCTGTAAATTCTGTCAACAGCAGATAAAGGTTTGTATAAAGTTTTGTACTTAACAGTACCTGAAAAATCTTGAATGAGAGCAGTACATCATTAATAAGTAATTCTTAGAGAATATGTATGGAATTTTGTGAAGATTTTAAAATCTTAAAATTTTATTAGAAGAGTGTAATGATATGTGATTCACAGATACTATAAAATTAAAATACAGATTCACTATAGTTTGTGATAGGCATACGAAAGGACTAGAGGGAAGTATACCAAAATATTAACAGAGACTGATGTGTGGTTAGATAATATAAGGTTTTATTTCCTAATTTTTATAATTTCTGTTTATCAGATTTTCTATAATGAGCATAATTAGTGTAATCAGAGAGAAAGAAAGTAAACTAGAGAGTTTTGAGTGTAAATAGAAATGTTTCTATTGATTTGTTTAAGAAATAGAAATTAAGAAATTTCAGGGTGGGTGCCTGGGTAGTCCATTTGGTTAAGCATCCAACTCTTGATTTCCACTCAGGTCATTATCTCACAGTTGTGAGATCAAGCCCACACTGGATGTGGAGCCTACTGAAGTTCTCTCTCCCTCTCCCTTTGCTCCTTCCCTGTGCACACTTGTGTGTGTTCACTCTCACACATATGCTAATTAATTAATTAATTCAAGGATGCCTGGCTGGCTTAGTCAGTAGTGCTGTGACTCTTGATCTTGGGGTTGTAAGTTCAAACCCCATGTTGGGTGTAGAGATTACTTAAAAATAAAATCTAGGGGCACCTGGGTGGCTCAGTCAGTTGAGCGTCTGACTTTGGCTCAGGTCACGATCTCACGGTTTGTGGGTATGAGCCCCGCGTCGGGCTCTGTGCTGACAGCTAGCTCAGAGCCTGGAGCCTGTTTCAGATTCTGTCTCCCTCTCTGACCCTCCCCTGCTCATGCTGTTTCTCTCTCAGAAATAAATAAAAACATTAAAAAAAATAAAATCTAAAAGGGGCATCTGGGTGCCTTAGTTGGTTAAGCATCCAACTTCGGCTCAGGTCATGATCTCGCAATTCATGAGTTTTGAGCCGAGTCAGGCTCTTTGCTGACAGCTCAGAGCCTGGACCCTGTTTCAGATTTGGTGTCTCCCTCTCTCTCTGCCCCTCCCCTGCTGATACTGTCTCTCTCCCTCCCTCCCTCCCTCTCTCTCTCTCAAAAATAAATAAAAATGGGGTGCCTGGGTGGCTCAGTCAGTTGAGCGTCTGACTTTGGCTCAGGTCATGATTTCATGGTTCTTGGGTTCGAGCCCTACATTGGGCTCTGTGCTAACAGCTAGCTTAGAGCCTGGAGACTGTTTCGGATTCTGTGTCTCCCTCTCTCTCTGACCCTCCCCTGCTCATGCTGTCTCTCTCAGAAATAAATAAAACATTTTTAAAAATTAAAAAAATAATAAAAATATTAAAAATTAAAATAATAAAAATAAAAATCTTAAAAAAAACCTTTTTTTTAAGAAATTTTTTCAGATGCCTCCTGGGTGATATAAGACAGTCTTTTGGGGGCAGGAAGGTTTCACCCATTCAGGTGCTTCCTGAAGAAAATCATAAGAAGCTACTATTGGGGTCAAGGCCATATGAATGTGAAATTCTCCAGTCTAAGCCTCGGCAGCCCCTTATGCCAAGTAGTTCCAAGGGTACTTTCCCAGCAGGGAAGACCCCCCATGAGCTAAACTGCAGAGATACCACCAGGTGCCTTCCTCTGCTAGGGAAATAAATATGTCTCCTCACAGAGCCTTGCAAGGCAAGATCATTTGATAGCATTTTAAGGAGCTGGTTTTCCAGATGCTAAGTCAGACTTAAAGAGCAATTTTTCCAAATATTCTTCCTAGCACCTCTCTGAAGTTTTTAAATCTGCCTCTTCAAATCTGAGATATTATGGCATAATATATAAGAATTGATTAACCATGCTCTAATTTTTGTAGAAGAATGCTGCGAGTGGAACTTTCAAACTGTTGTCTTTGTCTATTTCAGCTCAATCATCCAGAACTCGTGGAAGGCCTTGTGCTTATTAACGTTGACCCTTGTGCTAAAGGCTGGATTGACTGGGCAGCTTCCAAAGTAAGCACTAAATGGTGTTCATTGGCTCATCTCTTGGGCCTCTCTCAAAATGTCTTACTTTTATTTTCATTTCTTCACTGAAGTGTATACAATCAAAGACAGAAAGTTTTAAGTGTACAGCTTGATGAATGTTTGTATTTATAAACTGCCACCTAATCAATGCAGAATATTTCCAGCTCCAAGGATTCCCTTTTGCCTTTTCTTTAATTATATGTCTTTTTCTTCCAGATATAATCCTTGTTCTGACTTCTGTCACCATAGATTGGCTTTCTCTATTCTTAAACTTCATATAATTAGAATGATAGATTATGTATTCTTTTATATCTGGGTTCTTTCATTCATTGTGATCTTCCTTCATGTTGTGTGTCATGGAGTCCTTTTAATTCTTGTTTAATAGTCTGTGGGGTAAATACACAAAATAAGTTGTCCGTTATTTGGTTATTGTGAATAAAGTTCCCGTGCACATTCTCTTACATGTCTTTCCATAGGCCTACACATTCATTTCCCCTGGGTCTCAAGAAGTGGAACTGTTGGGTCAAAAGGCAGTTTTTGTATTTAGCGTTAGATACGGACAGTGTTCCACAGTGTTTGGCTGGTTTACTCACCAGCAATACATGAAAGTTCCAGTTGTTCCACCTCCTCAACAACATTTGGTGGTCATTTCAATTTTTGTAAAAGATGAGCAGTTTTATTTGTAATATTAGTTTGTTTCTATATGGTACCTGTCAACAAAATAGGTTTAGTTATTAAAAAACAATATTTAATTATACTATCTTTTTTATGTTAAGCAATGCTTATGGGGAAATAATGCCAGGTTTTAATTTGCATTTCCCTAAGGGCCTATGATGTCAGACAGAGCCCCTTTTGTAAAACTTACTGGCCATTTCAATATCCTCTAAGGAAGTGACTGTCCAGGTCTTTTTGCCTTTTTTACCCTTAATTGGGTTACTAGGCTTTTTCTTACTGATCTGTAAGAGTTCTTTCTACATTTTGTGTCTGAATTCTTTGGTGGATTCTTTGCTCCCAAAGATGGGTGGGATTGAAGACGTATGCCATCTGAATAATGAAGATATTTGCTATCTACATGGCGTTTGCTATTTAGATAGAATGTTATCTAAAATCTCTTCAAGGAGATAGTAATCTACAGAAGAAGTATATTCTAATGACTTTACAAATGTAAACAATCCCAGCAACAACAAGAGTGAAAAGAGGGAATACAGGGATAAGCATATTATTAAATAACATTTGCATTGAACTGACCTGTGCTAAAAAAGTCATTTACTGTTTTTAGGTTGGAGAAGGAAGCAGTTTTGAAACATTTTTCTCTACTAAAGTACATATGTTATTGGTATACTATTTTAACCTAAAACTATGAGGTTTGGGGGCACCTGAGTGGCTCAGTCAGTTAAGCATTTGACTTTAGATTTTGGGTGAGGTCATGATCTTGAGATTTGTGGGATCAAGCCCCATGTCAGGCTCTGCACTGATACTGTGGAGTCTGCTTGAGATTCTCTCCCCCTCTCTCTGTCCCTCCATTGCTTGTGCATGCTCTCTCTCTCTCTCTCAAAATAAATAAACATAGTAAACAAACAAAACCTATGAAGTTTAGTTTAAATCAGTGATGTTATTATAAAGTTTTCCAGAGAAAAAAATAACCCAAGCTTTCATTACTTGCTAAATGATGCCTAATGTTACAATCTCATTTTTTTTTTTAATATTTTATTTATTTCTGAGGTAGAGAGAGAGGGAGACACAGAATCCGAAGCAGGCTCCAGGCTTTGAGCTGGCTGTCAGCACAGAGCCTGACGCGAGGCTCACACCCACAAACCGTGAGATCATGACCTGAGCCGAAGTCGGACGCTTAACCGACTGAGCCACCCAGGCACCCTGACAATCTCATTTTTAAATAAATATCTGCTTCTGAGTATTTTTAAGTTGCCATAAATGTTCGTTCTGATCTACCACTGGAGGTAGGCTCCAAAATACCACTGCCCAGCTTGTCATCTGTATCAAAAATATTTACTGATACTCAGCGATGAGATTGAGTAATTCAGTATCTAGGAACCTATCTGAATGATAGTGATATTTACAAAGACTTAAATAGAAGGATAATAATTTCTTAAGAACCTAGTACATGTCTAGTTTGTGCTGTGTAACAGGCACCATTCTTAAATGTTTTCTGTATGTTTAAATTTTTTATTCTCGGGACAACCCATTGAAGTGGTACTATTATTTTCCCACAGAGAAATTAAGCCATTTGCTTAAGGTCACACAGTTTAGGAAATCACAGAGCCAAAATATTCATTAAAGCATTGTTTACAGGGCAAAAAGATGGAAACAACCGAAGTGCCAATACTGTAGAGCAACAAAATTGTGATAACATCCATAGAATGGAATATTCTACAACCAAAAATTTCCTTGGTTATTTAAAGAAATGAGAAAATTCTCATATTTAAAAAATAGATGAAACTATTTATGTCCCAATTTTGTTAAATAGATATGCATACGAAAAGAGGGAAAATAATTTGGAGCACCTGGCTGGCTTGGTCAGTAGAAGATCTAACTCTTGATCTTGGGGTTGTGAGTTTGAACCCCATGTTGAGTGTAGAGATTACTTTAAAAATAAATAGAAACATGAGACTTACTATGTTAAAAAAAGGGGAGGAAATAGTTGGTTACTAATAGCTGTGTCTTTGGCTGGTAACATTACAGATGATTTTTATTTTTTTGTATTCTGTATTTTCCTAATTTTCTATGATAAGCACATGTTGCTTTTAAATTACTTTAAAATATTAAAATATTCCACTTACTGGAATTTAAGAAACAAAACAAACGAACAAAGGAAAAAAAAAGAGAGAGACAAACTGAAAAACAGATTCGTAACTAGAGAACAAACAGATGGTTACCAGAAGGGGGGTGGGGTGGGGGGAGGATGGGTGAAATAGGTAAAGAAGATTAAGAGTATACTTACCAGGAGGCATTAAGGGAATCTACTCCTGAAATCATTGTTTTACTATATGCTAATTAACTTGGATGTAAATTTTTAAAAATAAATCAAATAAAAATTTTTAAAAAGATAATGCACATACACACTCTAAAAAAAAAAGTATATATACCATGATGAGCACGGAGTAATATATTGAATTGTTGACTCACTATATCATAACACCTGAAACTAATATAACACTGCATGTTAATGACACTAGAATCAAAATATATTCCACCTACCAGTAGAGTAGATTATAAAAACTTTATCCATGTCTCCCTACATTTAAGTTCTAGGGAAATTTGCATACTTTGGATGAAATGTATTAACAGTGCTATTGCCAGATGTAGGGACAATTCTTAAAACCTTATTTAAAATGTGTTCTAATTCCTGTCTAGTTATGTGGGTATGTTAAAATTGACCTAAACGTTCTCAATAATGTGTAATAAATTATGTGTAATAACCTAATAAAATTGTTAAAAGCTTGCGAATGATCTTATGGTATTAAACATGTAATGAGATTGGTTGTTAATTCTAATTATCTTGGATCATTAGTAACCCCTATGAAGCTTTCCGGGCTTCTTCCTTACTCTTTCTGGGACTATGTGATCCTGCTTTTCCCATTATCCTTCTCTGTCACCTCATCTCCTCTTCTCCATCTGCACTTCACCTCTGATTCAAGTCAGCAGTGGGAATTAAGCATAAAACCAAGGAAGAAGGCTATAGGGAATCAGCAACATAATTTGAGTTGGAAATTTTTCTGAAAATAGACTAGCAGTCTGCAGATTTGCACAGATTGCTGCATTTATTAGACTGTGATATGCATCATTTTGAAATGGAAAAAAATTAGGAGAAAAATGTTCAAAACGCAAGAACATTCTATAAACATAGCAGTTTCCTCCCACTCCCTAAAATGAAGATAGCAAAAACTGGAGGAAAGAAAAAACTCTTTTTTGTCTCTTGGGTGACTTGAAGGGAGTAGTTTTAAGTCAGTCCTTGTTAGCCATGAATCCAGTGTAAATGTGGGAAATACAGACAGGAATGAAGCATCTAATAGCCAAGAGTTCTAGGTCCTAAGTTTGCAAAGAAGGAATGGCCAGGATTTCTTCCAGCCACCTATTTCAAAGTAGGTGATATTATTTCCCTGGAAGGGAGACTCATGAAAATATGTGACACTGAGTTGTACTTTTGTTTGTTGAAGGATAACATGTATGCAATAAAGTACACTAATTGTAAGTAGGCAGCTTGATAAATTTTTTATGTATGCTTAGCTCCCTTGACTCAAAGTTTTTATCTTTTTAGCTCTCAGGCTTGACAACCAATGTTGTGGACATTATTTTGGCTCATCACTTTGGGCAGGTAAGTGTCTAGTCCAACTAGTACAGCCCTGTGTTTATTGACTTGCAGCAAAACCTTATTTACCTCAGGAAAGATGGATTGCCCTAGAATTCACCTGATCCTAGTGGGTGCTCCTTCCAGGGCAGAGGGGGATGCATGTGGCCCAGCAAAGACCAATCTTGGGAGAGAGGTATTAACTCAGTGCCAAATGGCTCTTGGCATTTGAAGAGATGAGGGAAGGCAGATCCCCTCCCCCGCCACCTGTTCCTGTCAACGGCATGCCATCTGTTAATGTTTGACAACATCACGTGCCTCATCAAACATTTTCAGAGACATAATGAGGTGGAGAAAGGCTTCACAGAAATAGAAATTTCAGAGAAAAAAGAAACCAAAAGGAACAAAGAAATATCAATGCTTAAAGAACTTTAGAGATTATCTTGTCCAATCCCCATGTTCTACTGGTAAGGAAACTAAAGTCTATAGCGGAAATGACAGTTATGGATAATTATTGGGTGGGAGAGGGAACCCCAGTCCTCTTTTCAGAGGCGAGAGTGAGTTGGATAAGATTTTGAATGAGCTGATAAATATTGTCTTATTTTTTTGTAAGAGTTTGGGAAGGATTGCTGTTGATTCTTCTTTAAATGTTTGGTAGAATTCATAGTGACACCATCTGGGCCAAACCTTTTCTTTGTGGATATTTTTTATGTTACTAATTTAATCTCTTTACTTATTAAAGATCTATTCAGATTTTTCTGTTTCTTGAGATACTTTAGGTGTTTTGTGTCTTTCTAGGGATTTGTCTATTTCATCTCAGTTACCAAATTTGTTGGCATAAATTATTCATTAGATTCCTTTATAATTCTTTGTTTTTCTGTAAAGTTGAAAATAACATCTCCTCTTTCCTCCCTGTTTTTAGTAACTTAAATCTTACCTCTTTTTATTTGGGATTCTAGCCAACCAGTTGTTTGTTTTATTGATTTTTTTTCCTGTTCTTTTTTTTATTCTCTATTTCATGTATTTCTATTCTAATCTTTATTATTTCCCTCCTCCTATGTGCTTTAAGTTTCCTCTTCTTTTTGTAGTTTCTTAAGAAGGAACGCTAATTAGGATTTGAGGTCTTCTTTTTTCCATCTCGGCATTTACAGCTATAAGTTTCCCCCTCCATACCACCACTTTACCTGTAACCCATAAGTTTTTGGTAGTTTCATTTATCTCAGAAGTATTTTCTGGGGCACCTGGGTGGCTCAGTTGGTTAAGCATCAGACTTTGGCTCAGGTCATGATCTCACAGTTCATGAGTTCGAGCCCCACAGCACAAAGCCCGCTTTAGATCCTCTGTCTCCCTCTCTCTCTGCCCCTCTCGCAGTTGTGCATACACGTGCTCTCTCTCAAAAATAAACATTTTTAAAAATATTTTCAAATTTCCTTATGATTTCTTCTTTGATCCATTAGTTTTTTAGGAGTATTTTGTTTAATTTTCCAGATTTCCCTATTACTGATATCTAACTTTATTCCATTGTAATCAGAGGATATATTTAATATTTCATTTTTTTAACTTATTGAGATTTATTATGTCCTAGCATATGGTCCTTACATATGGCCTGTCTATTTCATGTACACATAAGAAGAATGTGTATTCATTCTGCTTCTATTAAGTGGAGTATATTCTGGGTGTCTGTCAAGTCTGGTGGCTTACAGTGTTGTTCAAGTCTTCTATTTCCTTGTGATCTTCTGTCTCATTATTCATCCATGAATGAAAGTGAGGTATTAAAGTTACTGGCTATTATTGCTGAATTTTCTATTACTCCCTTCAATTCTGTTTGTTTTTGCCTTGTGTGTTTTGATTATTCTGTCCTTCTGATGTTACATTTTTATTTAACAGAACTTGGAACTAATTTTATTTTGTTAGCTCCATCTTTACCCTCTGCTTGCAGAGAGAACTGGTGCCAACAGTTCTTGAGCCTTTTCAGGCTCCTTTGTACGTATTCACTGACTTCTTTCACTCTCCCCACTGCCAGCCTAGCAACCTTACTAAGTCCGCTAAATGAACGATTATAGTCTTCCTTCTGCTTTCCAACTTTCAAAATGGTATTGCTGTTGTTACTTTTCCCGTTGCCTTTGTCCTTATGAGTTTATGACTTACAAAGAAAAATTTTGTTGTTAATTTTATGATTTTTCTGGAAAGAGTACAGCTATATTTTAGTTCAGCATCTTTAATTGGAAGTCTCAAAGACTATGATCTTTTCACACATGGTGGGTAGAGTGGGTACTCTCCTGAAGACCTCGCATGCTTGGTTTCTTTTTAAACATTTATTTATTTTTGAGAGAGACAGAGCGCAAGTTGGAGAGGGGCAAAGAGGGAGGGAGACACAAAATCCAAAGCAGGCTCTGGGCTCTGAGCTGTCAGCACCGAGACTGACACAGGGCTCAGACCCACAAACCACAAGATCATGACCTGAGACGAAGTTGGACCCTTAACCGACTAAGCCACCCAGCTGCCCCATAGCATTCTTGGTTTTGACTATATACCTTAAAAACCAGTTTACAAAGTTTACAGAATTCTGTGCTAAGTGTGTGGAAGAAATAAAAATATATAAGGTATATATATGTCCCTTGTTCCCTGGGAATTCACTCTGTAGGGAGATAGGATATACAGAAATGTATATACTATTGTAGCATAGGTACAGAAATACCTATGCTATTGTAGCATAGGTACAGAAATACCTATGCTATTGTAGCATAGGTAAAAAGGGATAAGGATTAAGAACTACCTTTCATTGAATACCTATAGGTGTTTTATGTATATTAATTGAATCTAATGATCTCATGATGGGAATTGTATTATTCCCACTTTACAGACAAAGAATGAATTGGTTTCCAGCTAATAACATATTGAGGGAGGATATTTGAAGCCAGATTTGTGCCTAACTGTGAAGCTTTACTCTTTCTACCATGCCAGACTGCCCTAGGAGAGGTACCATGAGGGGCCTAGAGGAATTCAGAGGCAGGAGAGGTTTGCTTTTGATTTGAAGATCAGGGAAGGCTTCAAGGTAGCAGAAGTATCCTAGCCGGGCCTTGAAGGACAAATAATATTCAACATTTTATAACCGGGGGGGGGATCATTCCTGGAATGAGGAGTAGTTTGCTCAAAAATGTAGAAGACTTCCTCTGAATTTTGCTGTGAACCTAAAACTACTCTTTTTTTTTTTTTTTGAGGATTTTTTTTTTTTTTTTTTTTTTTTTTTTTTACAAATAGTTTATTGTCAAATTTAAAACTACTCTTAATATATAGTCTTGGGGCACCTGGCTCAGTCAGCTGGACGTGCAACTCTTGGTCTCGGGGTTGTGGGTTTGAGCCCCACGTTGGGCATAGATATTGCTAAAGTAAATAATGTCTTTAAATAAATAAAATGTAAGCAAGCAAATGCTTATATTGCTTCTATTGTTTTGAAATATAAACAAATATGGTTTAGAAACATGAATAATCTCATCTTCGCCAATAAGAAAAACCAACCACAGCAATATCCTCTTTTTATCTATAAAATTTGGAAAAATTAAAAAGAGTGGTCATTTGTGGGGTGCCTGGGTGCCTCAGTCATTGAGGATCCAACTCTTGATTTTGGTGCATGTCATGATCCACAGGATCATGGATTTGATCCCTGCACCGGACTCCATGCTGAGTGTGGAGCCTGCTTAAGATTCTCTCTGTGTCTCTCTCTCTCCCTCTCCCTCTCTTCCTCCCTCCCCTCCTCCCTCCCCTCTGCCCCTCTCCCCCTTATGCACTCTGTCTCTCTAAAAATAAATCTTGAAAAAAAAAAAAGTGGCCATTTGTATTAAGGTTGTGGAGAAACAGGTAGTGTAAATAAATGAGACTGCTCCATATGTCCTGATAAGGAATGAGCTCTACCATCTTTTAAGGGGAGAAGCAAGATATGTCTAGCAGACCACGATTTGTGTTTTTTATTAGAAAAAAAGGTGAGGGGCAATTTTTACATAACAATTTTCCCTAAGAAGCCCATTAGCATTTAAGGCAGTTTTACCCCTTTTATACCATTATCATTTCTTCCCTCTTTTATCTCACACTTTGCTACTTTGGTTCCTTTTCCACTCTTAAAGGAGAGGTGGCTAGATCATTTCATCTCTAATTACTGTGTGCTTCATTTGTTACTTACTTTTATTATAATTTCTTTAGCATTTACTGCTTTTCTTAGAGTGATTCCATTGCCCTTCAGTTTCAGGTAGACTCTTAGCCATTTGGTCAGTTTCTGATTGTATTCTTGGCTCACTTCATGCAAATGGTAGTAAGAATGCAAACAAATATTTTCCTTATCTATACTTATCTATAAGGTTTAATGGTGACCTTTACACACTGCCCTGGATTAACTGGCTTTCTCACTATCCCTGATACATTTCTTTTGTCCAAAGCAAACATTTTCTCTTCTGCTGATTACTGGATATGTGTGTGCTTATGTACAGGTGTACGCATACGTTCATATATGCTTGTGTACACAAGACCCTGACAGCTGTTTTGATGGCCTCTGAGCAGGCCAGCAAGGGAGGAACCATTGTACCATTGGTGGTTGGGAGGGAGACTCACTACACTGCATAAACTATTTGTTTCTTTTGTGTTTTATACCTTTAATAGTATTGGTAATAAGATTAAATAAATGATAAATTAACTTGAAAAATATAAATGGAACGTAATATATCTATAGATATCACTGATAGTATATATATAGGTAACAGTGATTATATTTGTATTATATCAATACAATTAGATTATAAAGATTTATGTCTACTAGGAGAAGTCTTACCTTCTATTTATTTATTTTTTTTTAAAGTAATCTCTCCAACCAACGTGGGGCTTGAACTCATAACCCCAAGATTAAGAGTCATATGCTCTACTGACTAAGCCAGCCAGGCTCTCCACCTTCCATTTATTTTAAGACTTTGCAGTTCATGTTTTCTTATCAAATTTTCAAATTTGTCAAAATAATCAAATTTTCTTATCTAACCTTTAAAATAGCCTGGTCAGGGATGCCTGGTCAACCCAGTCAGTAGAGTATGAGATTCTTGATCTTGGTGTCAGGAGTTCAAGTCCCATGTTGAGTGGAGAGCCTGCTTTAAAAATAAATAAAACAGCCTTCTCAAGTATCTGTTTATTATCTTCATGTTTTATGAGAAATGGCGGAACATGCAAAAAACACAAATAAGGAAACGAAGTTTCTGAATGGTTAGGTGATCTTTCCAAATTCCACAGCTAGTACTTGAATCCAAATCTAGTGGAGTTTCAGGGTGCTACAGGTAAGGATATTCAGAGCATTTCCCCAAGTTTTTATATTTGACCTGGAGTCGATTATCAGCCTTTTCTGTAATAGATTCTTTTGTGCCCTCATTCAGCACAGAATATGGCACCGAACCAGTCTGTTGCAAATAAAGATTTCAGCTCTTCAGCCTACCAGCACAATAGTAGGCCCAGGGCTCTGCCCAACTTGCCATCATGAGCAGAGAGATTTGGCTTTGGGCATTGAGAATGCAAACCAAACAACATTACACTTGTGCTGTAGCTCAGAAGTTTACCTGTGTCTCTTTTCAATTGTTCTAGGAAGAGTTGCAGGCCAACCTGGACCTGATTCAAACCTACCGACTCCATATTGCCCAAGATATCAACCAAGAAAACCTACAGCTCTTCCTGGGTTCTTATAATGGGTACAGTTGTTTCCTGTTCCTCCACTTAAGTGTAAATTGGTTCTAAAGAGATAATGGACATTGGAGGGAGACTGGAAGGGGAAATAAACTACTTTTTCCAGTGTTGTGTAATGAGATTGCTTTCATGTTGTACCACAGGAAAAGAGGAGGGGCTTTCACACAGATAGGAAAACAGCTTTCAAGGAGAACAAATGGGAGCTCCTGGCTGGCTCAGTTGGTAGAATGTGCGACTTTTGATTTGGGGGTTGGAAGTTCAAGCCCCATGTTACATAGAGATTACTTAAAAAAAAAAAGAATGCATGAACTGAAGGCCGTTTTGGGCACATTCAAATATCAGTTGTAGTTTTAAGGTGTTTTAAGACAAAAAAGTACCGAAGTTACATACACACTAAAACATAAAGGTAGTGTGAGGCAAGACAGAAAAATACACGTAGAAGAGGCAAAGAAGAGAAACCTTGGACCTTGATTTCCATTTCTCTTTGCTGACCTCTTGTCATCAGGCAGAAGTAATGCATGGACACTAGTAAATTCTCTTTTGTTTATGTATTCCAAAACCTACTTTCATGTCTCCCCCAGTCATTGAGAGAGCCTGATTCTTATCTTGGGACCAGCTTTTCCAAGGTAAAAATATTAGCTCCTGCTAGCTTTCTGGGTACATGGGAAAAGATTGAGAAAATGGGTCAGCTGTAACGTACCCAGATTCACCCAGAGATTTTGCAGCTGGTCTCTCTAGCGCCTTCCTCTGTATAACAGATCCTCCTTATTTTTAGTTGAAGTCAGAAAGGTTTACTAAGTACTGCGCAAAACTATGTTAGTTACAAGTTTTCCCTCAAAAGTTCCCCTTTTCTTAAGGAATTTATTCCTGTAAACAAGTTGAAAATTAAACACTAAAACTTGAGGATTTCAGTAGCATTGTCCTAGAGTTTCGAAGTTGCTTCTAGACTTTTAGCATCCCACTGTGTCCCTCAGGGTTGAGCCAGGACCTTGCTCCTGCTTTGTACCACTCACGATGCTACTGAGACAGCTGCTAGGGAGCAAAGTGCACAGGGCCTCTTCCCTCATCAGGTGTGAAGGGAAAATAGTTTCATAGTCCTTGGCACATTTTGGTTTTCACAACCAGAAAATAATCTGAGTTGACATGATTTTATCTGAAAAGGGTATTGCTTCCTTCGTTTTTCTAGACGCAGAGACCTGGAGATTGAAAGACCCTTGCTGGGCCAAAATGATAACAAATCGAAGACATTAAAGTAAGTACCTCAGTTTCCCTAGTGAGTTGCTAAATATCTATGCCTTTCATAGACTAACTTAATATTCAGTGGAATATAGGTGCTATTTGCAGAATGTCACTTCTTTATTTTGCCTTTCCCCAGGTGTTCTACTCTTTTGGTGGTAGGGGACAGTTCACCTGCAGTCGAGGCTGTGGTAAGTATGTCCTGATGTTCTGAAGATAAATGAAATTAAAATGCAATAAAACGGGGGCGCCTGGGTGGCACAGTTGGTTAAGTGTCCAGCTCTTGATTTCGACTCAGGTCATGATCTAATGGTTCGTGGGATCAAGCCCTGTGTCGGACTCTAAGCTAGCAGTGCAGAGTCTTCTTGGGATTCTCTTTTTCCCTCTCTCTCTCTGCCTGCCCCCATGCTCACGCGTGCCCGTTATCTGTCAAATAAATAAACGTTTTTCAAAAAATGCCGTAAAATGTGTACAGCACACTGCTGGCATACTAGAAACAGTTGGTAAATACTAGTTCTTTTGTGTGTTGTTTGTTTCATTTCTGATTACATGTGTCAGGGTTTGCTCTTTGTTATCCAGTGTGGAAAATGAACTCATCAATTACTAGATTTCATTAGATGGGATCATTATTACCTTTGATCGCTTTATGTGGTGCCATTCACTTCGTGGCAAGTAGTATAGCTAAACACCATTTGCTTATTGTCAGATTTCTGACAACCTCAGCCTTCTGCAGCCACCATACATCTGGAACTGTATCAGCAGGCTGGAAGGCTGCTGAGACTTTACGCTTTCCTCTGCCTCTTCTTCAAGTACATAGCACATTGGTAAAAATAATATATGCTCATTGTAGACAATATGAAAAAATTTTTAAATAGAAGGACAGGAGGAAAAATCATAATCATGTTAACCAAAGGTAAGCTATTATCTTTTTCTCTAACATACATTGGGTGATACTAAACATACAATACAAGGTTTGGGGACCTGATTACTGATAGTATTTTTAATACCCTTTTTCCATATTATAAAGTCAGTACGTCTGTATAATATTTGGTCTTGTAAATGTAATTTTGCTTACTTAACCTCATTCTCCAGTTGATTATGTCAGATTTTGCTCCATTAATATTGTCCTTGTTAAACATCTATAATGAAATATTGATTATTTCCCCAGGATAGATTTTTAGAAGTTGAATTAATATGCCAAAAATCATGAACCTTTGCAAAAAATTTTGTAACACTTGCCAAATTCCTTTCCGAAGGGATATAGCAGTGTATTGGTATCAGCAATGTATGAGAGTGCCTGTTTCACAGCATCCTGTCCAGCATTGAATTTTTACATTTTATTAATAATTTGATAGGTTAAAAATGGTGTCCCACTGTTTTAATTTGTATTTTTTTTATTACAAATGAAGTTGACAGTTTTTTATGTCTGTTAGCACTTACTTGTTTTTCCTACAGTGTACGTAACTTAAGTAGGTATCTGTGTGAGATTACCGGGTATTCTCTGACAGCCTTCACTTCTGTCCTGTTTAGAGAAAAACATTAGGGAGTAAGGCATTTTGGAAAGGAGTCTAGTAACTAAATCATAGGTGAGAAGGTTTATGGGGCTGGGGTGAGGTAGATGTGATGATATAGTCATACCTCCCTGAATTATCCTGTTAAACATTCTATATCTGGTATAAAATACATGGCATGGCTTGAACACAGAGGTAAATGACCCTCATATCCAAAAAGAAAATTCCCCAAAAGTTATAAAGTTATAGTGATGATCTCAGTTTATCATGAAGCCATTTGATAAAAGTCAGTGTTTTCTAGCTAAAAGGTGGGGATACATGCTACCAAAATACCTATCAAAAACATCTCCTCAAGGGGCACCTGGGTGGGTCAGTTGGTTAGGCATCTGACTTCGGCTCTTGTCATGATCTCCTTGTTCCCAGGTTCAAGCCCTATGTCAGGCTCTGTGCCCATAGCTCAGACCCTGGATCCTGTGTGGATTCTGTGTCTCCCTCTCTGTTTCTGCCCCTCCCCTGCTCGTGTGTTCTGTCTCTCTCTCGAAAATGAATAAACATTAAAAAATTAAAAATAAATCTCCTCAGGGGCCCTGGCTGGCTCAGTTGGTGGAGCCTGTGACTCTTGATCTCAAGGTTGTGAGTTCGAGCCCCACACTGGGTGTAGAGAGATTACTTCTTAAAAATTTTTTCTTCATAAACATGTAACCTAAAATAAGAAAACAATGTTGTCTTTAGAAAATACCCTTAAATGGAAACCAACTTGACAATAAACTATTTAAGAAAAAAAAGAGAAAATACCCTTAATCAGAATTTTCTAATACTGAATTGTTTTTTTAAACTTGCATGGACTTAAAGCAACATTTCCAGTTATTTTTCATGACTATATAGATTGTTAGATACAGATAAGGTCTTATTTTCTGATTTCCACACCTTAAATGTTTATAGATAAGAACCTGGAGCCCTGTCTGTACCACAAAGTAGATGCTCTTTTAGACAGATTCAGTCTTTCTTCTAGACAGATTCAAATATAGCTCCCTTGTGAGAGCTAGCATTTTATCCCAAAAATTGGTAGGGATTAGAAGGCTCTCCATGCATGGAAGAGCAGGAAGGAACTCCAAGTTTTGGTACCTTTTGCTAAGTATTCTTGTTTAGTTACTCATTCAGCCTCATGTTTTGATCTTCTCCCTATTTGCTCGATGCTGTGGAGAATACAAAAATGAGTAAGATGGAGTCTGTGTTTGGGAAGCTGGGGAGGGTGTAGACATGTCAAAACACCAACCATTGTGCTTGGCTCACCAGATAATGGAGACTTCTTACAGAGTTAATAGAAATTACAACATGGTGAACTAAGGAAACCATGATTTATTATATTTAATCCAGATGTGGGAACTCATTCTTCCAAAAAATATTTATTGCATATCTTCTATGTTCTCACCTATACTTGGCAGTTAGGGATCCAGTTTGTAAAATCTACCCTTCAGAGTTAATGCATATTCTATATTAAACTGGTACATTTGCTTATTACTGCCTGCATTGTCATTTGTATAGAGGAAAACTTTGGTGATCCTGGCTTTTAGAACATCCCCTGATTATAGAAGAGTTTTGTATACCTGCCCATCAGCAGTCCCCAGAGTTCAGCTGGATTACTGATTCTTGCCTAGGTAATTTTAATAACTCCCTAACTGACTTGCTGCCTCTGTCGTCGGTCATACAGGCTACTGCTGGTTACTTTCCTAAAACAACTCAAATGCTTGTACCTCAGAAACCACCTGTGGCCTCTTGCCTTCCATGGTCAGCTTCAGTCTGCCTCCCAGACTTGCCTCGCAGTGCATCTTCACACCACACTTACCTCTGTAACCCACACTTGCTCTGCACATCCACTTCACATCTCCTGGTTCTTTGCTTGTGCTTTTCCCTGGACCCTGGAAGCCTTCAAACAAACACCTACCCCTTCTCACTGTATCTCTTGAAATCCTACTTATCCTTCTGAACTCATGCAGCTCAGTTGTGAAATTTTGAAGTGATGTCCTTCAGCCTTGTATTATGTATTTTCACCCCCACTAGATTCCAGGCTCTTAGCAGTGTTTTTATGTATGTGCTTGGCAACCATGTGTAAAAAAAAAAAAAGAAGAGAGAGATTTGGTTGATCAAATTAGCCATAAAACATTGCCGAACCTAGAGGTTATTTCCCTAAAACGTTTTCTTTGAAGTTTCTGCTTTCATGGATATAAGAGTGTAAGATACCAAACATGTAAATACATAGGTTGTAATTCTTTATTATGACTACTGCTGTGAGAGAAGAGGGCAGAGTGGTCAGTCTTTAGCCGGGGCAGCAAAAGACCTTGTGACTCAGGAAAGAGGGTGTGAGGAATGGCAAACCCAAGACAAAGGGAAGGGGTAAGCTGTGGGGTGGGCTTTGGGGGGGGTGGGGATGCAAAGCCCTTAGGGCCATTTGTGCTGGGTAGCCATCGGGACCCCAGCTGGTGAGGGCCATGGTCCAATTCACATTTTAAAATAGGTTAACTAGCCCCCAAGTTATGTAGCCAGCAGGAGAAATTAGATTCAGCATATAGTTCTTTAAATACAACAGATTCAGAAAATTAAATTAGACAGACTTTTTAGATCTACTCAGAAATAATTGAATATAAAGTGCATCATATATCTCTTACTTTGTAAACTTTGTATTTTGGACATTTCTTTGGCTGATTCAGCCATCTCCAAACTGAGCTTTTTGATCTTGGAAGATCATTCTCATGTCAAGCTATTTCTTATTTTTCTAACGGTTCATAAAATTGTTTTCTCTCTCTCTTTTTTTAAGGTTGAATGCAACTCTCGCTTGAATCCTATAAATACAACTTTGCTAAAGGTAAGGTGTTTTCTTTCCTCATTGGCAACCAGTTTGTAAGTTAATTATACATGGTTAATTACTCTATTTCTGGAATAGTTGCCCAGAAATAAAGAAAATTTCTCTATCTCTGGTTCTCTGATTCTCTTTTTTTTTAAATTTCTTTTTCCTGAATATATTCTTATTGTAGAAAATTGGAAAAAAGAAAAATAAAGAATAAAACATAAATAAAAATTACCCACAATCCTACCACCCAAAGTTCTCCTCTGGGAAAAAATATTGGTGTCTTTTCCTATACACTTTCAATGGATTTATTTTTTAAATTTATTTATTTTGAGAGAGACAGAGACAGAGCGAGCAGGGGAGGGGCAAAGACAAGAGAGAGATGAATCCCAAGGAGGCTCTGTGCTGCCAGTGTGGTCCTGATACTGGGCTCAAACTTACAAACCATGAGATCATGACCTGAGCCAAAACCAAGAGTCAGATGCTTAACTAACTGAGACACCCAGGTGCCACATTCCTGTACACTTTTTACATCATTAAGGTCATCGAATATTTACAGCCCTGTGTCCTCAACTTTTTGACATGAGCATCTTCCCATGTCATTAAAAACCTTATAAGCATTATTTAATGTTGTGAGAATTATGATGGATGGAAATTATTTACATGCTAAGTCCCATTGTATTGGGTAAGGAAGCTTCCAGTAACATTCTAATGATGAGGGTGGGTGCATTTTCTTAGAGCAGATAGAGAGCAACTCTTGTATTGAATTTCTAAAGTCAGTGTCAAGTTTCTCCCCTTTTCATTGTACCCCAGGCAAGAGTGTCAACCTTGCTTTTTCTACAGCCTGTAGTAAACTGTTCAGCCTGACACACTGATTTAATATGGATTACTGTATTGAAGTGCTGATGTTATGTTGCTTACTACTAATTTTCAGCCTGAAAGACCTCTACTTTCTTCCCTTTCTCTCTGAAGTGGCTTGAAAGGGAAGTCCTTTCACCAGAAGCAGGCCATAGTTCTTGGAAATAGAACATGAGGTTAATGCTCTGAGGCAATAGAACACAGAATGTTCTGAGGTCCAGGTGGTTGATGAACTGGTCCAAAATAAGAAGGTTTTTTTTTTTCTTGTATTTTAAAGCATATGGTTTCATATAGTTTTTCACTGCAGGTTTGAATCGGTATTCTGAAAGCACAAAACTGAACTCTGTAGTAGCTGTAGATGTAGTTATTTCTGAGCAAAAATGCCCACCACTCCCAACTATTTGATAGGCATCAAGCTTGGAAATAGTCGCTCTTAATATTTTCTCTCTACATGTGTTAACCGTTTTATGTCAGATTTTGACTCTTAAATTTCATGAAAATATAGCCTGTGCCAGTTAGGTGTGTTTTATACTTAAACCAAGGTAAATGCTTGTTCCTAATATTATTATTAGAATTTTAGGGGACTGTCTCGTTAACCTCAAATTCCTGTGCCTTCTGTAGCATTCCCATCTGCTAAATAACAGACCCCCACCTCAAAAAACATTTTCATGCTAGTGAGTAGAAACAATGGTTTGTATCTTTTTTTTAAAAAGTTCCAGTCACCCTGAATAGAGGATACTGAGTACAGAACGCATAACAGCTTAAAGGAAGAGGGTAGGCCTGTGGCTGGTCGTCATGCCTTAGAAACAAGGCATGTTTTCTGCAGATTATCAGAATCTGTTCCTGGGAGCTTATTGGAAATGCAAGTTCTTGAGCCCCACCCCACACCTGTTAAATAATCTTTTCAGGTTTATATCCAAGGTTATTGCTAGGATATGTCTTTGTATAAGAGTGTATTGTACCCTTAGTTAAACATTAAGTTAATCCTGTCCTATTTGGAAAGACTCATGGATTCTCAGAGCATGTCCTCTAAGTCTAAGTACCAGCTGACTTGTATTTTTTTCCTCTTTTAGATGGCAGACTGTGGTGGACTACCCCAAGTAGTTCAGGTATGGAGATTGTTTTTTTACAAAGCACTATTTGATTCTACTTCTCTGCCTGTGCAAAGAGTAATACCTCCTTATTTGTTCCCCTAGCCTGGAAAGCTCACCGAGGCCTTCAAGTACTTTTTGCAGGGAATGGGCTACAGTGAGTAGTACAAAACTTTCTTTCTAGCAAAAATTTAATGATAATGGGGTCGTTTTTGACATCTGGGGAGCCCACAATTCTCAGGGCATAACCTCTATGCTAGCCAGACTAATGTCAAGTGAAAAACAAAATGTTGATGGAATATTCTTCTGTGCATATATATATATATATATATAGGTGAGCTAACACTTATTAAGCACTTGCCTTGTGCCAGGCATTCTGTGTTTATAACCTTAAGAGGTAAGTTCTGTTATTAGTCCCATTTTATAGAAGAAGAAACTGAGGCTCAAAGAGGCTAATAAACACATTTCCTAGGATAATAGTTCACCTGCAGAACCATGATTCAGATCCTAACAGTCTGACTCGAGTCCATCTTTTCAACCACGGAGACTTAGGCTTTCCTAAGCTTGTGAATCTGAAATTTACATTTGAACTCAGCTTGTAATGATGTCTGGCCTAGAAAAACACAATGGAGACTTTAGAAGAAAAGGGTAATCTCCTCAGTTACATCCGCCCCACCACAGGAAATGAACTTGCAGAGTAATTTAGAGTGAGTCCAGGGATGTGTCCATATTGTGTGCCACTGTCCTGGTCTCTTGTATTGTGAGACCCCGAGCTTTTTCATTTGTCACAGACTTTCCACACTTGCTCCTTTCTTGGAATTTTTAAGAAGAAAAACTCTTCAACCCAGGTACAGAGCTCTTTACCCAGTAGGGTGATTTCTTTCCTGTCTTTGGTATAAGTGTGGAAAATAGCCATTGGACAGCTGCCCGGGCAGCAGCTGACCCCTGGGTACAGCCCTGTGCCTGGCAGGCAGACTGTGTATGTCTTGTCTAGAGTGGCTGTGTCATCCCCGTCTGTGAGCCACTACCAACCGAGCCCACACCCACATCTCTCTGGCTCAATGGGAGGAGAAGTCCCTTTCTTAGCCAGTTTTCATCCCTTTTCTAGGAAACATCTGATCTTCCAGCCCATTTCTGATCCAAAATAGATGACTGTTGATAGTATAGAGGAAAACAGTTGCCCTTGGCTAGTTGAGAGCAGCATCCCAGATGGTAATAAAATATCAGCCTCACATCTTCTCTGAGACCTTAAAATAAAACTTTGTCCCTGACTTAAAGTATTCTGTCAGTGTTTACTAGGCAGCCAAGGTTGCCACTTGGCACTCTTGGGTCACTAACCGGCCTTTTCCTGTGTCCATCCTGCTTCCAGTCCCGTATGTGCAGCTCAGTCACCTGAGCACCGAGTCAGGTACCTTCCTCTGTGCTGGCCCCGCCCCTGCCTCCCAGCCACGCTCTCCTGGCTGTATTGGCTGCCTGCAGCATGTCCGCGGTTTTCCTGTGCAGTGAGAGCCCGATAGAACGTGGCTCGTGGTGCCCTAAGAGGGTTAGTCTGCAGGTCCAGCCCTGGTTCTCCAGGAAGAAAGGAGCGGGTTGTGATAGCTAAGCTTTCTTTTATCATCCAAATCCAGGGTCACAGCAGTAGCCAAAACTTGATAGGCAGGGCCCCTCTTCCACCACCACCTACTGATCCTTGTATGAACCTCACACACAGAAAGTGAAGGGCAGCCTTGATTCTAAATAGGAATGTCAGAGCCTATGCCTGGAAAAGTCAGCAGGTGATGGCATCTTTTGACCCCAGCACTGAAATGACAGCTAGGGGAGTAGCCAGTGCCTCAGGAAGATAGACAGGGAAGTTATGCCAGGTAGGGCCGTGTCCTGGCCAAGCTGGAGGGACCATAGGGTCAAAGCAGTGGTAGAACAGTAATCTGAGTGAAACACTCACCCCCAGAGTCCTTCCCTTGCAGGCAGCAAGGTACATGCTGGTCAGCGCCAGCCCACCTGCCCTCCCCTAAGCCCACACCTTCCTAGAGGTCTCCTCCCCAGGTAGCAAGGATAGCCTGTGGACACGGATGGTAGTCTTGTTGTATCGGGCTTGCACTGTGTTTGTGAAACACCTTCATACCTGTGTGGTTCGTCTTTCTTTTGGTTTAGTCTTGCATGCACTGCAGGTTTTGGTTACCTATCTGGGTTCCCAAAGCCTCTTTTCTAATCACTGTATGAAAGGCGTGGGCGTAGCTAAGAGGCTGTACTCTGGACTTAGGTTTTCCCTTGTTCTCCTATAGACTAGACTTAGCTGAGATTCCAATCAGATCCAGAGGATTAAATGAGCCTCTCGTATAGCCGCTCACCTAAGCAAACAATGCAAAATGGAGATGGCTGTATCTTAGCCTGGGTCTCCCCTTAAATGGGTTAGGAAAGCGAAACATAAAGCACAGCCTTTGGTGAAATTTCTGGATTCGCTAAGCTTAGCCAGGGCTCCATCTTCTAGTCCTCTTGGTTCTTTCTTGCAGTACCATCTGCCAGCATGACCCGGCTCGCCCGATCACGAACCCACTCAACTTCAAGTAGCATCGGCTCTGGAGAAAGTGCCTTCAGCCGATCTGTCACCAGCAATCAATCAGATGGAACTCAAGAATCCTCTGAGTCCCCTGATGTTGTGGACAGACACCACACCATGGAGGTGTCCTGTTAAGCAGATGATCCTCCCCTGGACCATGCAAGTCCATCCTCCTTCAGACGACCACTCCATAATATAACATTTCATCCAGCAAACTGGCATTTATCTTTAACTCCTGCATGGCCACTGACACTCTCTGGTATCCTGGATTTATCATTCTCTCTGCTTGCTCACCCTCCTTTTTGTATGTACCAAGAACCACTTCCTTGCCATTACTGTAACATTCCAGCATCTTTAGCTGATCAAACTTCCATATCTTCTCTTGCCAGATTTTTTCTGTGCTTTCCCAACTGCGTATCTGACAAGATTCTTTGATCCTGGTGTATGTGTGAGCACGCTTGTCTGTGTTTGTGTGTGCATAGTTCTGTGATTTTAGATATGCTTTCTTGTAGAGCTTCTGCAAAAAAAGAAAACAAACAAAAAAAACAAAGGGGACTTTTTTTTTTCTTTCTTTTCATTTTCAATGGTGTTTTTAAGGGAAATCTACAGAACAGGTTTCTAGGTTGGGTAGATCACTGCATTCTCTTTTGGTTCCAAATTAGTCAACAAGATTTGCAGAGTGACTTCAGCAGCTCCGAGGAATATGGGAGATCATGATTACTGTTGATTGTGACCAATAGAAGGGAACCTGTTTCATAAGAGAGTCAGGCAAGGTGGCCAGCTATCTTGTTCTGTCCAAATGCATTCACATATGTTATTCTGTAAATAAAAGGGAGGGAGATATTCTTTTAGAAGCCCAGGAATGATGAGGTTCTAATGCAACATGGAGTTTTCCTAAGAAGTGAGCGTGGCTTAATTACTGGACTCTCTTAGCACAGGAAGGTGGAAAGCAAAATATCAGGCCTCCGCTCCGCCCAGGAATGATGAGGTTCTAATGCAACATGGAGTTTTCCTAAGAAGTGAGCGTGGCTTAATTACTGGACTCTCTTAGCACAGGAAGGTGGAAAGCAAAATATCAGGCCTTTGCTCTGCCAGAGCAAAACTGCTGTTGCTGCAGTGTCTGATACCACTTACCAGATATCCACAAGAAGTGCCTCCTTAGTCTGATGAAGAGTGTTTCTCCATCCCTCAATCCTCAGAAAAAGGAGAGGTATGGCTTGAAAATTACATAGATGGTGAGGAAACAGCTGGGGGAAAAGGCAAAGACATCAACGGAATATCATATATAATAGGCATAGCCTTGCCTTCAGCTGACTTAGTGGAAGCTAAGTGAAATTGGTACAGAACTCATTTCTCAGAAAGATTTTTGACAGATAGTTCTTTTAAAAGAGAGGGAAGGGGCTGGTCTGTAAGGGCAGACTGTGCAGGCACTGTTGTGTTTAGTGGACTCCTGTGTGAGGGGCCACAGCCAGCCAGGGTATCACTGGGAAGAGGATAAAACCAGCCGCCACACAACAAGGCCCCAGCTCTTGATGGCGTCAGGTGTAAGCTCAGGGTTAGACAGTTCCAAGTCTTAGGAAGGGGCTTTTTAGACATAGTGTTCGCTTTCTGCTGAGATAGGGAATGCGTCACTCTGCCAAGAGTACAACTTTTTACAGATTATTAAATAAAGCTGTATATGTCTCATTGTTACCTGATTGCTGGTGTTATTTCTCTCAAGCCACTCACTGGGGTTCAGGGTGGAACCAAGGTTATGTTTATGGGCTTCGTGCGGGGCATTTTCACATACTTGATCATTATCTCACCCAAGAAGAAGTGAAGACTTCGGATAAATAATTTGGCCACGGTCATACCAGTAAGCCCATCTAGGAGTGAACTCCAGGCCCATGTGACACACCGCTATTCCCTTCAAACCAAAAATCATGTGAGGCCCGATCATGTGGTTTATGATGAAGGAGGTAAAGCTAAGATCTTGGAAAGGCATTTCACATTTCAGCTCTGCCATCCTTTGGGGTAGCTGAGTCCCACCCTGACTTAGTAGTAGTCTGCAACACTTGCCTGGGTTCCTCAAACAGGCCAGACTGCATTTCTCCAGAAATGGCTATCTTTGTATTGACCATTAACATTAGGAGGCCACCATCTTGGGTCAGTTTCAAATGATCCAGGGGCAGCTGCTGTCATATCGTAAGTACATCGAGGTTGCTGTGTCTGTGGGAGGTACTTGTAAAATGGCACAGACCCTGCTCGTTCTGGGAAAAGAGATGAAGCAAATGCACGTGGACAGAGATACATGGCACCAAGCTGAGTTCCTGACAATACAGGACAACAATTTTTGAGCTGGAGGTGGTCTTACAGTTGTTCTTAAAACCCACATCACTCCACCCTTCTTGGCCACACCTGACATGGATGGTTGCCTGCTTTCCCACCTTAGCCTTGTGACTGAAGTCAGGCCACAACTGACTACATCTGACTGGTCCATACCATACTTTTCTCTTACTGTTTTCATTTCCTTTCTCCCTGTTCAGTCCAGAAACAGGTAGGTGCCTGCTTTATGGGAGTCAAGCAAATGGCCAGGCAGATTATCCAGGATGATTGTATAAAGCTCCTCCACGTAGATCATCTTACCCAGTTCTTAGGGCACCCATGCAAAGTGGTCAAGTCTTTCGTAGACAATGAACAGGTGAGGAGAGTTAAATGATTTGTCTGAGGTCACTGAGCCTGAAAAATGTCCCAGTTCTTCCAAAATCAATGCATATGCATAGTCAGCATTTTTTGAAATTAAGAATTTATTATATCACTTTCTGGCATTATGTATACTTTATAATGTTTGTTTTTGAGAAAGAGCATGAGTGGAGAAGGGGCAGAGAGAGGGGGATAGAGGATCCGAAGTGGGCTCCATGCTGACAGCAGAGAGCCCAATGTGGGGCTTGAACTCACCAACTGAGATCATGACCTGAGCCAAAGTTAGACACTTGCCTGACTGAGCCGCCCAGGTGCCCCTCATGTTCAGCCTTTTATTGAGCATCTAACATAGGCTGGGGGCCTTTGCACCTTCTATATGTTCCATAATGTTGGTCCAGTGAGGTACATGCTAGTCCCATTTTATGGATGAGAAACAGGCCCAGAGGTAACTACAAGTGGTCACAAAACTAATAAACAGCAGATCTGGGCTCTTAAACTAACTCTCACGTATCTCCTTGGATCTTACTTGAGGCTAGTCTGAAAGTCTTCCTGTCAAATAAGAAGGTGGACATCAGACAAGAACAGGAGGGTGGGCCTGTGCTCAGTTCCCTCCTTGCCACGGGCCACATTCCTTGAGTAGCCATCACCCATTCTAATATCCTGATTAGAATAAGCTTACACAGGATGTGCTTCCACTCTGGCTCCTTCCAGCTCTTCACACCAGGTGCCCATGGAGTTAAATCTCAAACCAACCTTCCCCGGGAGAAAGAACCAGAGCTGGAATGTGTTCTTAGGCTGTCAGGGCCCCAGAAAAGGCTTGATAGTCTGAGCTGGAGTCAGTAGCTATTTCAGTGCCATTTTGTGTTAAAAAGCATCTGTCTCCAGGAATACTAAGCCCCCTAATGGAAAAGCAGCAGTAGGTGTGGTTATTTAGACTTTAATGAAATGAGGGTTTTAAATTTTAATGACTGAGGTAACAAAGACAGTTCTATCAAATTCCTTATCCTGGCACACATGGATGGCTCAGTCAGTTAAATGTCTGACTTCAGCTCAGGCCATGATCTCATGGTTCTTGAGTTCAAACTGCATCGGGCTGTCTGTTTCAGTGCAGGGTCTGCTTTGGATCCTCTGTCTCCCTCTCTGCCCCTCCCCTGCTCACACATGCTCTCTCTCAAAAATAAACTAACATTAAAAAGATTTTTTAAATTCTTTATCCTAGCTTAGTGATTCTCAAGCTTGGGCTGTGTATCAGAACACCTGGAGGGCTTGTGGGAAGCAATTTGCTGGTGCCACCTATGGAGTGTCTGGTTTAGCAGATTTGAGATGGGGCCCAAGAATTTGCCTCACAAACTCCCAGATGATTCTGAGGCTGCTTGCCTGGGACCACACTTGAAGAACCACTGTCTGGGTCTTATTGCTCAAAGTGGTTCACGGACCAGCAATGTGGGATATTGCCTGGGAGTTGTTAGGAGTACAGAATCTTAAGTCCTACTCCGGATCCACCAAACTAGAATTTGCTATTAATAAGATCCCCAAAGGGGAGCCTGGGTGGCTCCGTCAGTTAAACTTGTGATTTCACCTCAAGTTGTGATCTCACAGCTCATGAGTTAGAGCCCTGCATCCAGCTCTCTGCTGTCAGCTGTCGTGCAGAGCCCCCAGAGCCTGCTTTGGATCACTTTGGATCCTCCATCTTCCTCCATCTGCCCCTCCCCCAAAAGTGCGCGCTCACTCTCCTTCCCTCTCCCTCCCTTTTCCCTGCCTCTCACCTCCTCTCTCCCTCTCCCTTGCCCTCCCTCTCTTCCTTCCTCCCTCTTAAAAGTTAAGTATTTAACAAAATCCCCAAGGGATACCTGCACACATTAAAGATTAGGACACACCACTCCAAGGCTGTGTTTCCCCCAAAGCCAGTCAAAGGAATCTCTTGGAGTGTATAAAATTCAGATTCTTGGCTTTCCTCTGGTGACTTGGATTTAGAAGATGGAGGATCCCAGGAATCTGATACCAGCGAGAACCTCGGGTGATTATAATGGTCAGGTAAGCATGGGAAGCTCATTTACCTCAGTTCCATGTTCCTCAGGCAAGACCAAGCCACAAAGCCAGAGGAAAAACCTCTCCCTCTAGGATCATGACAAGGCAGCTGCTTCTCCTTTAGAAACAGGAACTTGGGGAAGGTGGCTCCTTGATGGTCTGTGATGCCGTCAGAGGAAATGGGTGGTTGTGAGAACCACAGAGGCTGCAGATGTGAGCTGGGAGCCCCAAGGAACCTATGACAGAGCTCAAAGAGCCCTGGGCCTTCTTCCCTGGCCTGGCTGTGTTTGGGAGGGCTGCCCAATTGGGGGTCTCTAAGGAGCATGAGTCTCCTTTCTCACCCCAGGTGTGCAGACTGCTGACCACCGCAGTTGCAGAGCTACTCACAGTGATACCAAGAGCATCTCCCTGAAGAGTCTCCCCGCCTGAGAAGATTCTGGGTGCCCTAGGACTAAGGACTTTGGAAGATGTCCAGAAGGGTCCTCCAAAGCCGTAACCTCTCCAGCCAACGCATGCATCTAAGCTGAGTCCCGGTCCCAAGCTTTGATCTCAGGAAACCGGTAAGTATGTTTGCTTTAGTTTTCCAGTGGTCTCAGGACTGTGAGGAAGGATGGTCCCCTCAGAGGCTGGGAGTGAGCTTTACAGTGGGGGAAGGAGTTCCACAATAAGAAATGGTTCTGTTGAGGATGTAAGGGGGTGGTTTTGAGGGTCCCCAAAGGAACCCAGGCCTCCCCTCTCTGCCTTGGGTCTCCTCCGGCCCCAGAGACTTAATATTATTCCTTCCAACTTGTCTTCATGTCTGTTCTGGTCCCATCTCAGTCACCAATTTCCCGTATAATTTTGGGCCCCCTTCTGGGCTACAGCCTTCCAACGTCAGTGAATAAGAGGAGTCTGGGTTATAATCTTTGAAGGCTATAAAGTCCATAGTTCCTCTCAAAAGGGTGATATTTCTCAGTTGAGAGAGAGGTCTCTATTTAGCTTAATCAAATTCATCACTCTTACCTCTGCCGCTGAGAAATTATCTTCAGAGGCACAAAAACAAAAAAGACGTGGATTATAGACCCCATTCTGCACTAACCAGCTACGTGAGAGTGAGCACGAGGTTGCTGTCTCTGAGCTCTGATCACTGTACGTGAATGGATTTCAAAGCTGCCGACCTCTCAAAGGATCAAGTGAGAAGATCAAAAAATAACTGTAGGCAGTGTGCTGATCTCAGCAGCCTTTACTCTTTCCTTCCACACACTGGCCCGGACCCCCTAGAAAGTGCCTAGCACATAGTTAATTTTTCAAATATTTGTGCAGTTAATAATTAGATTCCTTCTAATTATATAAAGTTTTGGCCAACATCTCCTCCTCCTAGGCTTGCACACCCCGTGATCTTCATTTGCCCCCAGGAAGCGGCCTGGCCCTGAGTAGGCCAGGTGAAGGGAGCTGGCAGAGGTCTGGGGGGCTTCCAACCTGACTGTGGCTCTCCTAACCTCTCTTGGGTTCCATCCCCCAGCTCTACCTGCTACAGAAAGAAGTCTCTGGGTTTAGTGCAGCTGGTGATTGTGGTGACTTTGTCTTTATGAAGGAAGGAAAAGGAAACTAACTTTTACTGAGCACTCACTCTATGCGAGGCTCCCCAACTTCTCCCCACAACCCAGTGGAGTTGGTACTATCCCTGATTCAAAGATGACACAGGGGTTACATGCTTTGCCCAAGGTCACACAAATGGAAGCTGGTTAGTCTGAATTAATCACTCATGCTACCCAGAAAAGATCTCTCCCTGAGGTTTTTCTGGACTCATGTCTACACAGTTAAGGATAGAGTTTGTATGTGATACCCAAGGGGAAAGGAAAGGCTGGAGAGCAACAAGAATGTTGAACACCTAACATGAAGAAGAGCCCTAGCAGTGAGGGCCTTAGAGTCCATTTCAGGCTGCCACAGCTTCAGGATCCCAAAGTCTGAGCAGGAAGTGGGTGCCAGGTGCCATTTCCTGTAGATGGGCCCATTTTCTATTAAGGAGCTCCATCCTCATGAGTACTGAACTCTCCATGATGATGACAGAAACCCGTACTTACCTAGGCATGGTGAAGGGTTCAAAGGCAAGGCCAGAGCCTGCTATGTCATTGTGCCATTCTGTGACCTCCTCCAGAGAACCAAACTGGTATAATTATTCCTTGTCTCTACTGAGAAGGATGGAATTATCTGAAAGAATGAAACTACCCCCTGAAGTACTTTAATAAAGTGAAAAAAATTAGCATTACCCTAGAAACCTGGGAATTAAAATTATTCTAGGGGTGCCTGGGTGACTCAATTGGTTAAGTGTCCAACTTTGGCTCAAGTCGTAATCTCGCAGTTCATGAGTTTGAACTGCATTGGGCTCTGTGCTAAAAGCCCAGAGCCTCGAGCACGCTTAGGATTCTGTGTCTCCCTCTGTCTGTTCCCCTCCTCTGCTTGTGCTCTGTCTCTCTCTCTCAAAAATAAATATTAAAAAAATATTCTAAGAATAAGACACTTGTCCAAAGAGCTAATAATCACTTTGGTCCATTTAGCTAATGTGTGTGGAGTGCCTTTTATGGGCCAGGTGTCTCATGAAATGTTGAGGAAATAGGCAAAATGAGGTCTTTGTACTCATTGAGCTATAGAATAATGGCAAATTAAACAAGTAAACACTCTAATAAATGAATAATTAAAACTTGGGAAGGGGGCACCTGGCTGCCTCAGTCAGTCGAGCATGCGACTCTTGATCTCGGGATTGTAAGTTTGATCCCCACGTTGTGTGTAGAGATTACTTAAAAATATAATCTTAAAAAAAAAAAAAAAAAACTTGAGGAGGATTGGAGGATCACAAAAGAGAGTCGAGAGAGAGAGAAAAGGAAGGCTCCCAGGAGTGGCCTCTGGTAAAGTGACATTCAGGACAAGATAAGGGAAAAGTGGGCCCTGGCCAGGCTTTTCTCATGCCTTATCTCTTGGACCCGTATGTTGGGTATTGTTATCCCCATTTTTCAGATGGAGGCAAAAAGCAGGGAAGTGGCCTGACAGCCAATCACTCCAAAGCCTTATAAGTCATTGCTGTGGCGTGCAGTCTCCTAGTCATCTTACTTTGCCCTGTGCAAAACGGTAGCACTAAGCACCAATAAGAGTGTGCTCAGTGTCACCTTAGCTTGTTGTGACACGAGCTCCCAAGCCTCCTTGGATCCCCCTCTTGCCCGCCTCTAACCCACGTCAGGAAATAGTTCGGAGTAGGCCTGTCATAGGAGTAATCTCTGAGGGCTGGAGGATTCAGAGAAACCTTCCCAGGGAAGGGTGGGATCCAGACAGGCACCAAGGTGGAGAAGGGCATTCCAGCCAGCGGGCCACACAGGCAAAGGACCAGAAAGAAAGAGTAGAGTATAACTGCAGTGTAGAAAAGGTAGGCCTGCTGGAGAAAGCAGTCTAGGTGCAGAGAGCCTCCTGAGTTTGGTGGAGGGGCTAGAGCTTGGTCCGGCTGGGAGGGGGGTCATTCCCTCTTTTCAGCAGGGCTGAACTGGGGAGGCAGAGGGTGTCTGGGTATCCAGGGCCTCTGTGTCCACCACAGTATCTCTTTCAGATTTCTCTCAGCCATGTGCTTCTGAGTGGTCTGCTGAGGAACGATGGGAGGTCAGCCCAGCAGAGGGAAAGCCCCACCAAGTCCAAGCTCGAGCCGCTCTGTCCAAGGCCTGGTCCCTTTGCCCACGCAAGCAGGTAGGCTGTGGGCCCAGGGCAACTGGGCCCTTCCCACACACAGTAAGGTGGCACAGCCCCAGACATCACTGCCTCTGTGGGCTTTCCTGACCAGCCACTCCAACATGGCTTCAGGTGTCAGTGAGTGCCTGCTGTATACCAGGCCCTTCTTTGTGAACCATATAGGCAGTGTCCCTGCCCTGGGGAAGCTTACATTTCAGCAGTCAGAACATTAAACAACCAGATAAACTAGAAAATGTGAGTAACAGGTGCTAACCGGGAGGGCCTATTAGTTCTCCAGGTGTCTCCCGAGGCTTCCCTTCTCCTCAGCCAGTTTATTAGGAAGTTGAGCTGGTAAGTCTAAGACCAAAGCTAAGACCAGCTCCGCTTCTGTAGCTCTCCAAAGCTGTACTATCTGGTATAATAGCCACTAGCCATATGCAGCTAGTTAAATTCAAAGTAAAATTAATTAAAATGAAATTAATATGTAGCTCCTCAGTCCCATCAGTCGCATTTCACGTGCTCAGTTGCCCTATGTAGCTAGCGTCTACCTATTGGACAGCACCGTTTAGAACTTTTCCATCACCACAGAAAGTTCTACTGGACGTCCTTGCTCCAAAGTGTCTCTTATCCTGTGCAACATTTGAAACAAAATTAAAGACATAGTAGTTGGAAGAAACTGGGACACACAATGCATCTGCTCAACCTACAACTGTGATTTTAAGATAGTCCTGACTAAAAATGCCAGTTTTTAGGACAATTAGACCATCAAAATATCCTAGAAATTCTAATATTTTGATATCAAAACTATATCCCCAGTTTGTTTCTTGTTCTCCCCAAACAACCCACAAATTGTTTCTCGAATCACATCCTGACTTGGGGTTTTGATGATGTGTTCGTTGGGGTTCTCCTGAGAAATGGAACCAATAGAGTATGTGTATGTGGGTGGATGTGTGTAGACACAGAATTTATTTTAAGAAATTGGTTCATGCAATTGTGGGGGCTAGCAAGTCTGAATTCTGCCAGGTAAGCTGCAGGCCAGAGGCCCAGGGAAGAGTTAATACTGCAGAATTGCAGTTGAGTTTGGAGGCAGAATCCCCTCTTGCTTTAAGAACCTCAGTTTTTTTGTTTTGAAATCTTCAACTGCCTGGATGAGGACCACCCACATTATGGAGAGTGATCTACTTTATTCAAAGCCCACCAATTTAAATTATTATCTCGGGGTGCCTGGGTGGATCAGTTGGTTAAGTGTCTGGCTCTTGATTTTGGCTCAGGTCATGATCCCAGGGTCATGGGATTGAGCTCTACATTGGGCTCAGGGCTCTGTGCTGAGCATGGAGCCTGCTTAAGATTCTCTCTCACTCTGCCTCTCTCCCCAACTCGCAAACACTCTTTTGCTCTCTCTAAACAAACAAAAAATGTTATCTTCACAGCAACATCTAGACTTCTAGACCTTGTTTGACCAAACATCAGGGTACTGCGGGCTAGCCACATTGACACATAAAATCAACCATCACAGATAACAAATTACTCTAAACCAAGCAGCACTTTTAGGAGGAAGGACATGGACACACACTTAAACAGAATAGGAGACTATGGAGCCAAAAGTCTGGATGTCTATGTTTGGGCAGAAGCTATCCCCAATCTGAAAACTCCCCCGCAGTGGCTGAGGCCTCTTCCCCCTCCTCGGCCCTGCCCCTAATATCCTCATCTTCCTAATGCCAGCCTCCCACAGGCATTAATGCCTTGGGCTCTGTAGTTCTGTTGGGGAGGCAGCTGCCTCTTTTTAGCCACTCGGTCTGCACAGAGAGCCTGGGGCCCACCGGGCCCTGCAGGAAGAGACCTGGAAACCACACAGACCTCCCCCTCATTTCCTCTGAATCTAGTCACAGGTTGGCCCCAATGCTTCTCTGAGTCACGGCCAGGCTGCTGAGGGGGCTGACCTCCGGCAGGTGCTCTGGGTGCTCTCCCTGCCAGCGAGACCCAAGGGGAACTGTGTTCCTCTCTCTGACAGGGTCTCCAGGGGGAAGGATGGGGCCTCCCTCTCTTGGTAGATCAACCCCTGGTCCCAGCAGGACAGATTTGGGGCAGTCCCTTCCATGACTCATTAGTCCATCAGCCTTGCATCCATTCAGAATCTACCGAGTCTCTACCACACGCCAGGCCTTGTGCCAGGACCAGGGGACATAGAATGGACAAGATAGGCACAGTCTCTGCCTTCAGAGACAGTCAAGCCCCAGAGACAGGAGCTAAACCAATAATCAGTTGCAGTTGTCAGATTTTGGTGACAGTGTGTTTTAAGGGACTTTTATTGAAAGTGTATGCTGAGAGACTCATCACGAAGGCTTCACCAAGAAGGGACATTTTATCCAGAGAGCAAAGGATGAAGGCGAGTTGGCCAGGTGGATGGTCAATGAGTGGGACAGCATATGCAGCTCAGTAGCAAGTAGATGTGCAATGCAACAGCTTCCAGGAGGGGAAGGGGTCCTTCCAGGCCACCTGGTTTCACCCTTGTTGAAGTATGCCCTCCACAAGACTTGCTTGCATTGTTTATCCGGGCATCAGGCACCTTCCTGCACCATGTGTTGGCCAGACCCTGTGCTATTGACAGCCCTGTGGAGCTCCATTCTGGGGTCACCATGTGGATCTGCACATGTGTCTGGGAGGACATGTAGGAACCAGGTCCCTTCCAGGACTGCAGTCTCATTCTTCCCAGGTCCACCTGGAGCATAGGCCCTTATATCACACAGTGTCCAGCTCTGGGTCTGCCCCACCCATCCCCTGGGTCCTTGTCTGTCCAGTGCTCTCCCTCCCCCATCTCCTGGGGCACCTGTCTAGAGGGCATTACAGAGCCCCCTGAGGCCTTGGATCCTCCAGGAGTATCTATGAGACAGATAAACTTTTCTTGCTGACCTTGATTGCTTTCATAGCTTGATGCATTGATGTGCTAACAAGTCTGTCTCTCTTTTTCCTTTGTTTCAGAGACCCCTGATGAACTGGGATAAGGAGGAAGGAGAGGGAGGGACACTGGGATGTGGGTGAAGTGGCTCTCGGCAGCCTGTGGAGGGCAGGTTTTTCAGGATGAGAAGGCCCAGACAGGTATCAGGAGGTCTAGTTAGACTGGGCAGGCTGATCCCTGAGGTGGATGAGGGATGAGCTGCTTGCCACCTCCCATCCAGCCTTGAACTTGGGCCTCATGACCACCATGTCTTTGGGACCAGTCCTGGTATGATGGGGCAGGGGTAAGGGGAGGCTTAGTATCCTCTGTCTCTATGACTTCCTCTCTGAATGTCAGCATCCCAGGGAGTCTGGGCCTTTTTGGTGATGTGCTACTGCTGTCCAGCCAAGTCCCCCCAACTTGGCCCATGAGTAGCTACAAAGGTCACCCACCCCAACAGTGCTCCCTGGGAGAAGGACAGGGAATTCCATAGAAGCTACTCCTGGCACAGTACCCTGCCTCACCTCAGTTGCCTTGCTGAGCAATGGGGCTCACCAAAGAGGACTACCTCCGGGGCTGTGAGGGCTGAGGTGATGTGTGCGGCACCCCTTCAGGCCCTGACACTCAGCGGCCACTCAGTAAGGGATGGCAGGCATGTGGCCAGGATGGGTGACTAGGCCACATATACCTGCTGAGTGTCTGCTCTGGGCAAGGCCTGGTATAGTGGGCCCCAGGGAACCCAAGTTTTCTTGGGGCAGCACAGACCTACACCGGTCATTCTGGACAAAGGCCATGGGAGAGCCACACTACCCACATGCATGGCTTTCTAGAGTTACTAAGCCTGTCCACATTTGTGCTTTCATTGGCTCCTCCAGGAGCCCTCCTCCTCCCATGCTCACCCTGGACCTCAGCCCTCAAAGTTAGTCCATCCGGTGCCCATGTCATTAGAACTTATAGAAACTGAGCTCAGAGATCTGTGCTGATAACCTGATTACAGCTATAGTTTTTAAGTTTGCTGAGCAAGGGAATCCTTTTATCAAAATCTTCTTGACGATAAATCCCCATATGAAAGGGCACTGTAGCCAGGGCTCCACTCCTCTTGCCACATCAACCCGTTCCCTGAGGTGACCCCAAAAGATGTCTGGGCACCCCTAGGGCTCTGCAGAGGCTCACTGAAAAAGCTTCAGATTCCAGGGTGGCCCTCTTGGGATCCCAGTAGGCATGCTCCCCAGGGTGCCCACGGAGGAGTTGATTGTGGAAGCCCAGACTCCACTACACTTCACATGTGGAGGGAGGACTAGCCAAAAGGGTGACCATCTCTGTCCCTCCATCCAGAGAGAAGCAGGGCCACAGCCGTGGCCCTGAGCAGTTACCCGGTAGGTGAGCACACAGAGCTGTCGCTGAGACTCGGGGAGCCGTTGACCATCATCTCTGAGTAAGTCCTTCTGTGGGGAAGGATGGGGTGCTCTGCTTTCTCCCCCTGACACCTGAAGATGCACTAACGGGAGACGGGGCCCTTCCCTCCAGGAGAAAAGAGCATGGCCTTTGGTGCTGAGCTCACATGTAGCCCTAATGATTTCAGGAAGCTTGACACACCTGCAGGGAGAAACAGTAGGTGGGCAGGACCTTGCAGGGTCCCTGAATCCTGCCATCTAATGCCCAGGAGGTACCAGCACTGGGTGGTACAAGGAAACCTGGGAAACACAGGTGGGATAGTGATCAGGCACAGGAGCCAGCCTGGTGGGTCTTCATGAATCCTAAATGAGCAGGTCCCCTCTCCTTTCTCTCTCCAGAGATGGAGACTGGTGGACTGTGGTGTCAGAAGTTTCAGGCACAGAACACAGCATCCCCAGCATCCACGTGGCCAAAATCTCCCATGGGTGAGTTCACACCCCAGACCCTGACTTAAGGGGACTTCCTGCTTTCTCTTCCCACAAGCGTAGTCCTTTATGGCCAGACCTCTGCTGAGCAAAACGGGGAGAGAGGAGAATCAGGCCTGGGCCCTGCCCTCAAGAAGAGTGAACAGCTAGCCCTCTCAGGTCACTTTGTGAGACTTGGGAACCCAGAGGAGGGGCTCAGGAAGGCCCCATAGAGATGTCTTCTGGGCTATGGGGGGTGGGGAGGGCAGGAGTTCAGTGAACTCCTGCTGAAAGGGAGTAGCCTCGCATATGTGTCCTAAATGTCCTGAGGCAAGAAAATGGAAAGGTGGTGCCCCACATCTTGACAAACCTGTCCTTCCAAGAGGTGCCTTGAGGGAGGGCAGGACACAGGGATGCAGGGTCTCTTACAAAGCCTGAGCCATTGCTCACTGAGAGTCAGTGACAAAAGACATCGACTCCAGAGCAAATGCTGGAGAAATGTGTCATGAGAAAGAAAGTGAACTGCCTTTCAGTGGGATCTACCTGCATAACATGGAGTCATGCGAGTACACTGTGTGGGGCAGCCACTCTTCTGAGAGAAAATACAGCTCTGGCACTGGATGGCCTTCCTTTTCTGAGGTTCATGGGATATCTGGCTCTGATGAAAGTGGCGCAGGGATCCTGAGACATGTGGACATCTTGTAGAATAAGCTCACACAGAGGTTGTCAGCACCTGGGTGAAGCCCGTTTTGCCCACGTTTTTCCTGATAGCCTGGCCCTGCTGGCCAGAGATTTTGCATCCCCAATGTGGTACTGAAGTTTCAGCCAAGGAAACACTGACCACCTCCCAGAGTCCCCTTCCCGTGCCTTTCCATCTACTTCCCCAATGTTTATGAGTCATATGAATGGCTTGTTTTATTTACTATAAAACTAGGCTAAGTTTCTTGCTGACACCAAGCGAGTCACAGCTTCTCTGATTTATTTACTTGGAATTGACCCATCTCTGACTCTGGCTTTGACTGTGGAATTTCACACGATGACAGGGAAGCAGCCATTTCCATTGAGTTGGCTTCTGTAGGTTTTCCTGAGGACCATAGGGCATGACTCCGGGCACCTTAGAAGGCTGATGGACTAGTAAGCCAAAAAAATTCCTGTAAAACCACCTGAACTTTCCATTGTGGTTAAGGCCTTCATGAACATATAGGTGAAGGATTAAGTGAAAGGAGAAGGGAAAACAGAAGACCAGAGTAATCAACAATCAAGCAATGAAGGAGGCACTGAGGAGTAGGTTATGAAGATCTGTGCTTTGGGAGGCACATATGATGATCGATAGTCTGCATGATTTTTTCCAAGATTTTAGAATGCCTTGAACATTCTAGTTCCAACATTTCTACCCACAAATAAGCTCCAGTGAGAGTTAGGTTTCAGTGATAATGAATACATGTTCACTCACATGCCTTTTGACTGCAAAGTTAAACTTTAAAATGTTCAAATAAAATACTTACGAAAATTAAAAACAGAATAAAACAAGCAATTATTGGAAAGGTAAAGGCTTGGAAAGGTAAGTGCCTAGCATAGGGGTATTGGAGAAGCTGGGTGGTGACAGGAGACAGTCTGTGATTGCCCCACCTGCCCCTACCCTCAGCCGCTTGGAAACGAAGTCTCCAGGCAGAAAAATCTGGGGCTGGCCCCATGAGGGTGTCCTCTGAGGCCTCTGGAGCCAGGACCAAGACAAAGCTGGGAGCCCTTGGAGACCATGTACAATTGGAACTCTGAGGTCCAGAGATGAAGGAGGGGTGGAGTAGAGTCTTGGCCCATCCCCACTCCCCAGGGTGACCTCTCTGTCCCTCTCTCAGTTGGCTGTATGAGGGCCTGAGCCGTGAGAAAGCTGAGGAGCTGCTGTTGCTGCCTGGAAACTCGGGAGGGGCCTTCCTCATCCGAGAGAGCCAAACCAGGAGAGGTGGGTAAGCTCAGCCCTAGCTTGTCCTTTGAATGCTGAGAGTCATGTGTGAGGTGACTTGGGGATAGAAGTAGAAGGCCAGATGTGAAGGGCTGTAGTACCTAGCCTTGGAATTGGGCCGTCTGGCTGACTGACCACCATGTTGCTGCCACAAGAGCCCGTTTCTAAAAGTGGGTGTGAATGGTCCACAGTGGGGACCCAGGCTCAGCCTACACTTTGGCAACTAGGTCTTGTAATAGAGTATAGTCACAGGATTTCCCTGCCTTGACCAGCAATGACTCCTTCCTCCCCAAAACACAACACAATCCTGAACTCTTATTGGCAAAAAGTTGTCAAGTTCACAAGGTCTCTGTACTTTGGGTCACCAACCAGTCAGAACTAGAAAACTCATGGGAAGTCAGCTCTTGTGGAGCATGGGTGGCTCGGTCAGTTAAGTGTCCGACTTCAGGTCAGGTCATGATCTCACAGCTTGTGAGTTCGAGCCCCACGTCAGGTTCTGTGCTGATAGTACAGAGCCTGGACCGTGTTTCAAGTTCTGTATCTCCCTCTCTCTCTGCCCCTTATCTGCCCGTGCTTATCCTCTGTCTCTCTCTCTCTCTCTTTCAAAAATAAATAAACATTAATTTTTTTAAGTCAGCTCTTGATCTTCTTTTTTCTGCTGTACAAATGGGGAAAACAAGGAAACAGAGGCCCAAAGAGGGGTAGGGACATGTCACATTGCACATTCATATGGGACTTCTCCCATTTCAAGTGCAGGGCCTTTGCAAACAAGACACAGAGTTGATACAGTCTGTCTCTGACGCCCCTGCCTCCTTCTGAGCTGCTGTCCTGAGACCCTTACAGTGGGGGTGGAGAGGGATGTTGAAAGAATGGCCCCGCTGATGTTTATGTTAGGCCCTTTTGTGCCTAACAAACTACCCTGTGGGGGATTGTGCTTCCAATGTCCCCATTTTATAGATGAGGAAAATGAGGCTTAGAGAGGAGAAATGGTCTGCCTGGAGAGACACGGCCAAGTGTGAAGCTGGATTCAAACTCAGCTGAGGTCCATCTCACTTCAGACTCCCAAGAAAGGTCCATGGATCACAATAATGTCAAAACTGCAAGCACAGTGGTAGCCTGGGGAGGAGATACTCAGGAGTGAGGACAGGCCTCCTGTGCTTGCCCTAATTTGGACCAACCGTGATGGGTTGTCAGGGTCCTTTGCTCCCAGTCTCCCTCCTGAGGCCGGTTTCAGCACATCTCTGCCTCTCTTCCCCTTCCTTCAGAAGCTCGTTGCGTTGACCTCTCCCCAGCCCCTCCTGCTACTTTCCAGGCAGCATCAGCAACCTACCCTCACACCCAAAGGCTGGCTGGGGCTGGGGGCTGGGGACTGGGGACTGGCCTGAGCGCAGCAGCTGCAAACAGGAAACCACAGCAGTGGGGCTAACTGGGGCAAGGGTGCTGCAAACCAGGCCCCAGTGAGCTTGAAAAGCCACAGGAAGTGCTCCATGTTCCGCTGCCCCAACCCCATCCCTCTCTGACCAGGTTTAGCCACAACCGCATAGTGACCAGTGTGTTTTGCCCCTTTCCTAAGAAGGCACATATACAGGCAGAACTGGCTGGGAAGTAAAGGAGAAAGCAGATAAGGATCCATAAGGATCTTTAAGGATCCATAAGGATCTTTAAGGATCCATAAGGATCTTTAAGGATCCATAAACATCCACATGTTTACTGGGATTAAGGTTAGATTTGACTACGAGCTTCCCCATAGCCAACCCCAAAAAGGGAGAGATCAGAATGCAGCTCTCATTATCAAAAAAAGGAAGAGCTTTGTCAGTTCTGCAGGAAAGGCAAAGGTTTCCCCAGTACTAATTTTTTTTTTTTTTTAATGTTTATTCATTTGTGAGAGACAAAGCACAATCAGGGCAGGGCCAGAGAGAGAGACACAGAATCCGAAGCAGTCTCCAGGCTCTGAGCTGCCAGCATGGAGCCCCCGACATGGAGCTCAAACACATGAACTATGAGATCATGACCTGAGCTAGAGTCAGACACTTAACCGACTGAGCCACCCAGGCGCTCCTCCCCAGTGCTAATTTCTAATCTGTCATCTGGGCTTCCTTTAGGACAGTGTTTGTCAAGCTGCAGATTGAGAACCCTTTGTGGGCCAAGAAATTAGTTTAATTCAGTAGTTATAGAGCAGTGGGTGTGAAGTCTGCGTGGCCATGAGAATCACCTAGAGGACTTAAAACAAAGAGCTGGCCAAAACCGACATTTTTTATTTGGTGGGTCTGGGACAGAACCTGATCATTTGCCTTTACAACAAGTTTGCAGGTAATGTGGTTGCTGCTGGTTTGAGGACCACACTTTAAGAACCACTGATTTAATGTGTAGCAACATGGATGGACCTTGAGGGTGTGATGCTGAGCGAAATAAGTCAGGCAGAGAAGGACAAATATCATATGTTTGCACGTACAGGAGGATTAGGAGGAACTTGACGGAGGAACAAGGGGGAGAAGAAGGGCGGAAATGGTGGGGGAAAGGGAGAGAGGCAAACCATGAGAGACTCTTGAATGCTGACAAAAACTGAGGACTGATGGATGTGGGGGGAAGGGGGGGATGGGCATGGAGGAGGACACTTGTGGGGATGAGCACTGAGTGTTATGTGGAAACTAATTTGACAATAAACTATTTGTAAAAAAAACAAAACAAAACAAAAAACAAAACCCATAGCGTTGTATAACACAAATAAATCCTAAGGTAAACTATGAACTTTGATTAATTAAAAAAAAAAAAAGAACCACTGATTTCGAGGCACCTGGCTGGCTCAGTCAGTAGAGCACGTGACTCTTGATCTCAGGGTCATGAGTTGGAGCCCTACGGTGGGCATTGAGAGAGAGAGAGAGAGAGAGAGAATGCCTGAGTTAGGGGAGGGGTAGAGAAAAAGGGAGAGAGAGAGAATCCCAAGCAGGCCCAGCACAGACAATGAGGAGTCCTTTGTGGGGCTTGAACTCATGAACTATGAGATCATGACCTGAGCCAAAATCAAGAGTCAGAGGCTAAACTGACTGAGCCACCAGGGCACCCCCCGCCAAAAAAATACTTTAAAAAAAAAAACCAAAATGCTAATCTAGACTTTGGCTGCAAGTTGTAGTCATCTGCTTTATTAATTACTGGTGCCTTGCACCCAACCCCCAGGGTTTCTGATTTAATGGGTCAGGGGTGTGGCCTAGGCCCTAGAAGATATAAAAGCCCCCCAGGTGATTCAGATATGCAGTTGAGGTTGAGACCTCTTCATTTAATGGATCTGGACCAGTGAGTGTTTGAATTGAAATACAGGCAGAAAACTTCAAGGTGCATCACTGGGGTTGGGAAAAATATTGTCTCATCCTATTTATGTTTTAAGCAGTTTAAGTGTGTCCTGGGTCACAGTGTAAAATTTCATTCTGTGGTTTGTAGTAAAAAAAAAAAAGTTTTGTACTGCAACTCTATGAGGCCTGAGTAACATCACAGAACATTGGTTCTCAGACGTGAGTGTACAGGGATTGTCAGGGAAATTTCTTGACAACGCAGACTCTTGGTCCTCTTCTGAATCTGACTATTTACAGGGTTCAGAGGTCAGAAATCTGCTTCCTTCACAAGTTCTCTGAATGGTTCTTATGCTCTTTTAAGTTTGAAAACACAGTTCTAATCTAGGGAAACCAGAATTAAATAGTAAGGGAAGATGTTTTTTACATTTACATAATGCATCTTGTCATATATAATAGTAATTAACTATTGATTGAGTGAATGCTATCAGGATTGGCTTTTCTTTGTATCAAGGTCCAAACATACCTCTGGGAAGGGAATTCTGCAGAGGAATTTGAGTTTGTGTGTGGAACAAGGAGGGAGGCCTAGGGCCTGTGAGCTCCGCAAAACACTACTTGGAGTCTGAGCAGAGGAGGGTAAGACCCCTACATCTTCCCCAGAGTCCCTCTGGCATACTTGTTTATGTTCTAAACCTGCGGGAAATCAGGCCCCAAACCTTGGTATGTGAAGGGGCACTGATGACTCTGTGGAGGTCACAGGACTGCTCCAGAGGTCGGTACCAGGGTCGGGCCCCAACAATATTACCCCCCTACCCCCTCACCTTCCTGCTGTCCTACTGTGTATCTGTTCTGTGATGGGAACTATAAGGAAGATTGATGGTCAAGACAGGTGTCCTGCCCCTGAGGGGCTCTCTTCTGTCCCTTCTGTCATCTGGGAAGCACTTGTTGAGCATCAACTCTGAGTCAGGACTGCTAAGTCATGGTTCCTGTCCTCAGGCTGCAGACAGTGGAAGGTCCAAGGTGCAGCATCCCCGAGGCTATCAGCTTCTCAGAGGCCTCAGCAGATGAAGTTCAGGAGGTCCTGCTAGGTCTACCTCCCACACACAGCTTCCAGTCTGATCCCTCATACCACTGTGGACCTCACCCCACCTCCTGGTATCATCAGAACACCAAGGAAAACATGGTGCCTGACCCCAGAGGTCCCTGCATGCCAAGATGTGACATTGGCTAATGGAGCTAGAGCTTTCTGGAATCCAGGACAGTGTACCTTTCTTGCCTTTTTCCCAGTGGATCTCCTTCCAACCCTGGCACCCTGTTGTTGTTTTTTTAAGTAGGCTCCATACTGGAAAGGGAGCCCAATTCGGGACTTGAACTCATGACCCTGAGATTAAGACCTGAGCTGAAATCAAGAATTGGACACTTAACTGAGTGAGCCACCCAGGCACTACCACCCCCAGGCCACTTCTGTAGCTACTGTAAACTTCTTTCTTTTTTTTTTAAGTTTATTTATTTATTTTGAGAGAGACAGACAATGTGAGTGGGAAGGGGCAGAGAAAGAGGAAGACAGAGAATCCTAAGCAGGCTCCACATTGTCAGCATGGAGCCTGATGTTGGGCTCAAACTCACAAAACCATGAGATCATGACCTGAGCTGAAACCAAGAGTCAGATGATGCTTAACTGACGAAGACACCCAGGTTCCCTGTAAACTTCTTTCT